AAATAGCCAATAGCACAACACTCTAGGATTCGCCTTATTCAATTCTTTATTTAGCTTGCCTAAGGATATGCTATTGTGCCATTGGCTATTTCACTCTTGAAATTGTCTTCACACCAGTGTTGGGACCTGTTGTCAAGGAGAACAGATGGAATTCAGAGTGGTATATTTCTTTCTTTAAAACCCCGCTCCTAATTCCACCTTCTTGTATGCTCTTGTTATTGCAGACCAAAGTGGGTCATAACAAGATAGCTCCTAAAATTATGCCCTTTTCCCAATGAAAAGAGGCTGCTTCCAGTGAAGAATCATGGGAAATTAGCTGCTGGAGATGGCTGGAAGTAATGCTAGCCCTGTTAGTACCCTCCCACCCCCACAAACATTTTGAAGAGAATGTTATATGCAGCAAAATGGGAACAAATGAAATGCACTTAAGGCAGGTGATGAAGAGAACGAGATAATAAGGAAACAACAGTAGGCAACATATTACAAGCAGCAAACTCCCCCAATCACAATAGAATGATATTCTGAGAAGTCTGGAGAGACTGCCCACTGAACCTAGGGCTAGCGAAAGCCTGTATGCTGTCATGGCTGGAGAGATGGCCTGGGACTCTGGAGATCTGGCTTCCAGCTCCGACTGAGCCATGAAGATCAGAGCAGCCTTTAGGTCAGTCACTGACTCTCAGTCCCAGGCACCTCTGATGCTTGTTTGTTTTCTTGCTTGCTTTTAATATTAATCTTTTGCTGTGAGGACATCAAGCTGTGATTACCTGGGAAAAAGCCCACCAAACTCAGTGGAACGTACTTCTGGATGAACATGCATAGGCTTGTCTTACGTGTAATGAAGACTTCTGTACCAGACAAAGAACTGAAGAACACAACTCCCTACATATTTCGCTAGAGAAAAGACCTATGACTCCCAGTCCTGGACAATGAAGGGGAATAATGAACAGTAGCATGAAAAGTAGCCAATGAATAAGTAAATGAATAGCATAAATGGTCATCATTGTCATCGTAGTAATAACAATGATAAGCCATAGAATCTGAAATTCAGCAGGTGGTGCTAGAAAGATTAGGCAGGCATTTAATCCAAGTGGCTAAGATTACACAGTACCTTAAAAAAGTAAATTCTCAGCTCTGCTGCTTACAAGTATTACCTTTCTCTTGTGATGACCAGGTAAGCCTTTCTGGGAGCTAGTGTTGGGCTTCACAGAGAGCAAGTCTAGGGGACTGCACGACTTTGCATTGGCCCAGCCTAAATCACAAGATTGCTCTGATGACAAAATAAGCGAGGGTAGTATTGGGAGAGATCCATGTTTGCTATTGTGAGCTTAGTGGAAGAGGAGCAGGATAAACATACTGGAAATAAATGACATCAATAAAATTATACAAATAAGTGGGTCCAGAGTGTCTGAATCCTAAGTTCAGCATGCCTGAACTTAACTTGGGGACACCAGACAGAAAATCTTGCAACAGCTATGGCTGTTCCCAGGAATTATTCTGCTTCCAAAACTGGTGTTCAAATGGAAAACTCATGTTTCAGGAGTAATAAGGGAAACAACCTTGTAAATGTTATAAGAGGTCTCCTTGAATTGAGCTCCAAAATTTAGTTTGTTACCCTCAATGAAAGCAAAGCCTAAGGATTTCCAGTTGTTAATACAGAAGCTCCTCCCTCTGCCCACCCCCATCCCAGTAAGGTTTTAGATGATCTCCACTGTCACTGTAAGAGTGGCACCCTTACTGTGAGTATGCTCCATCTGCCTTGCTAATTTACTCTAACCCTAAACCTTTCCATAAGCTTACATTCCCTATCAAACCAGAACCACAGGCCAGCAGAGGTTTTAGCTAACAAGTCAAATGGTGTTTCAATTATGTCCTGAAAAATTAGCATTTTCAGGTCTGCCTGCTGTTGCCATGAACTGCTTGTAGTGAATGTCAACAGCACTTGCCCCTCTATCAGTTTGGTAAGTATAGCACATACCTTCCAGCAGTCTAGATAAGTGCCATTGAAGCAGGCAAGCTGAAATTTAAAGATTAATGAAAAAAAAAGGGTTTCACCACACTTATTGATGATCTGATCTTGTGAGATATGGAGTGGATGGGATACTTACTGCTTCTCCTAACTCAAGTCCTAAGGCTTTTTCCATTGGGAATCACCATTGCCACACCTGATGTTAAAATCACCACAGATTTAAAGAAGATAGGTAGGACAGTCTGAGAAAAGACTATCTAGTAAATCATCCAGTTGAATCCCAACCTTGGATGGATCCTTCCCTTTGTTATACAATTGGGACAATGCTTACCCCAAGAGGGTGCCCTCCAGATATTTTAGACTAAAACCGATCACCCCAGTCATCATGGCCAATGGTTATGGATGATGTGAACTGTAGTCCAAAATGTTTGGAGAGCAACAACTTAACAATGGTTGGCATATAGCATTTTTAAGATAAAAAAAATGCACAAAAATGGTGTGTTCTTGACAACTAACTTGAGTGACAGTTTTATTTAGAAAGGCAGGGTAAATCAAACAAGTAAGCAAGTAATGAAGGGGGCCAGGTGAGGTGGGGGTTGAATTGCCACTCCATACTTATTCTGTTTCCATGAATGACCACCCATCACTTCTTTCCACTGCAGCTCGCATTCTGAAAAACCTGCATGCTGGTTGCAAAGTTGGATGAAAATTTGTCCAGAGGGAGAGCCATGCTTTTTCTTTTTCTTTTTTGGCAGCAGAACCCCAAGTATCTTTTGGCACCTTAATGGCTAACATTTTTGGCACCTGCTTATCATCAGATGTACGGAATGAAGTGGATTTCTTCCCCCAACATTTTTTCATCTTTAAGATGCCACAAGACTCTTCATTGTATTTAACTTCTAGCTTTAGGTGGGAGCTTTCAGGGAGAAACCATATCTCTTTAATCTTTAGACAGGATCTTATATACACATTGAGCAACTGCATTTATTTACATGGGGACTTGCTTCCTGGTACATCTCACAGTCCCCTGGAGTGGAGAGGAATATCAGGATCAAGTCCATGGCTATGTCAGAGGTAAAGAGTTTTGGTATTCTTCAGCATATCTATGAAGAGCTTAAGTCTTTCTAGGTAACCAGTGGCCAGAACAATAAATAGTAGTTCCTTTAAAAAAAATGGAAACCACAATAGTAGCTTTATGCGTGTATGTGTGAGTGTCCCAGGTTTTATAGAATACTAGTGAGCAGATCCATCTTTGTACCAGTTGGAATAGTCCTTAGCTTGATACACTTAGGGAGGAATCCTATGCATGCTTAGATAGGGAAGTCCTACAACTCCCATCATGCAACAGACATGGATTTGTAGGACTTTTTCTGTCTAAGCATGCATAGGATTGCTCTCCAAAGACTTCCAGCAAATTTTCATTGCTGCCACAGCTGGACAAATGATGCCCACCCCATTTGGGTGAAGAAATGCCTGCTAGCTTCCTTGGCATGGCCCCTACCAAGGTGAACCCCTGCCTTAGACTCCTAGGACTCTGGACTACAATGTTATACATTGGTTAGGAAAGTCTGTCACCTACTGAGAAAAAATGGTGTTGCAGGCCTCAAAATGGATACATTTACATTAATTAAAATTAATGTGTTTTACATATAATGTAACTATATATCCTGAGATATATATCCCCAGGACCTCCTTAGTATTCATAGCAAGTTTCAGGGGTCTACATTTCATGGTCTTGGTGATACGGTGGTGATGGACAGACAGACAGACAGACAGACAGACAGACAGACATCCTTTTTTATTATCAGAGATAATAATACTGATAACTTTAGTGCCTGAATAAGCTGGGACTGGAATGAAAACCAAACCAAACCTTGAAATGTAGGGAAATTGTGAAGCAAGGTATGTCAATTAGGGAAGGGCGATGGAAGAAACGGACATACATACACACAGAGAGAGGCAGAGGGGTATGTTTTTATAAAAATAACATATCAGACAGTACTCTGCATATATATTATCTGCAGATGATTATGAACAGTGGTTTCTATGCAGGGCACAAATGGGAGTTGATTTCCTAAGATTAGCAACATGAATGGTTTAATTTTTCTTCTGACTGTAAAGAAAAAGATCTGCATTGCATAACGTGCTGGTTGCACATTCTAAGAAATCTGGATTCAAATTGGATTAGCTCACACATAAAAATGAGTCTGACTGTCAAAGCCTGACTCCTGGTGGAATTCTGCCTGCAGAATAAACACTATTCAATTCAGCACGGTGGGCAATCTCCAGACAGAATAGCAAGCGTGGTGTGCAGGCCAGAGTAACAGTATATTGGACATGTCTTTGTTTTTGAGGAAATGGGAACCTTGCTAAGTTCTGACTGGCATTATCAGCCTCTTGGGCAGGTGTAAAAAGCCAGAGAAGCTTGGCAAGGGCAGGCTGAAGGGAGTCTGTGTGAGAAACCAAAAGGAAAGTTGGTCTTGACTGATAATTTCTTTTTGGGGTATATGTCCGATAGTCCTGACTAATCTCAGACATTAGTAAGGAGATGGGGGTGAGGTGGGGTGGGTGGGAGACTGATCCCAGTGCAACCCCAAGAGCCGGTGCAATGAGCTAGGATCCAGGTGAATGGTGCAATGAGCTAGGATCCAGGTGAATGGTCACAGCTGCTTTAAATTCAGTTTACCTGCCAGGAAACCACAGAACTTCCATGAACAAGCAGGGCCTCTTTGTCAGCCTATGAAAAAACTCTGCATGCATTTGCATGAGGTTCATACAAATAAATTATGTATTTGTATAATTTATTTGTATTTAAAACTATTTTAAAACTTTAAAATAGTTTTAAAAATAGGGAGTTAGGTGGAATCCTCCAGGTAGAAAAACACAAAAACACATATGGTGCCCTCTGGTGGAAATACGTTGTACTTCAGAGCAGCAACAGATTTGAAAAATATCTGCTCTTTGATCAGATTCGCTACAGATAGTTAAATTTATTGTTGCATACCTTCCTTTTTTCATCTCTCACTTCTTCCAGGATCAACGTCAAAAGGAGTCATGGCTGACACTGGCCAAGGACCCATCCCACAGCAGGGACCCACTGACTTAAACCCCTGGAGCTGCTTCTCTGCATTATTGCAAGCTGCTTGTTAACCTGCCTCTTGGTCTGACCCCTTAGTGATGGGGAAGACAGGAGTAATAGATGCCACAGCCAAGCTTCTTGATGTTGTCTGGAGATGCTGAGAGTTACTGTCTGATACATTCCTGCTCCAGATCGTGCTGCTTTTTCTGGCATCTTTTCATGTAGACCTCTGGGGGAAACCAGAGGGACTGGGTCGAGGCCCGGTCTCCTCCTATCTAATCCTGCCTTACATTTAACCGGTCACTCTGACATCGCTCTCATAACCAACTTGGCTTTCCTCATTCTCTTCAGTCTGTCAAGCAACTGTTCTCAGCCTGATCTGCCACAGATCTGTTGGGCTACAATTCCCAACATTCCCAAGGCACCTTGCTGGGAAATGTTCCTCCAGCCAGTGTTGGACCACAACTCCCCGGACATGCATAAACACCTTGCAGGTTTCAGATGGGGAAGGGTGCAGTTTTAACTTTGCATTTCTGCCACTGTTAAGCACAGAAGCCCTGGGTAGATTTGGAAGGGTCAGTATTACTGGTCATAGTTGACCTTTGCCAAGAAGAAATCTTTGAGCATGACAATGCACATTGTGTTTTGATTTGTTTTGTTTCATTCTTGGTTGTCATAAAAGCTGTCTTGTATTAAAGGTATTTTAAAAATGTGTTAAAATACTGTGTATGTATTTCTCATGTAGTCCTTAAAAAGCCAAGGGGAGTGAGGCATATGACAATGCAGTTTGCACTAGTCCGGTAGCAGTGCTGTAGCCGAGGGTCAGAAGCTTGTGGTGCTGAGCTCAGTGGGACTGAGATGGGTGCGGTGGTTCTGATGAAGTTTGCTTCTCATTTGCCCTTCCAAGAACAACTGCTTTTTTGCAATAAAGGAGGAATTGAGGAAGAGACACCAAATAACTGAGAATAAGTGCATGGAACTGTCTTGTCCTGATAGCTGTAATAGTCAAATGGTTAAAACTGCCTTGTTCGTGTCCATGCCTGTAGTTCTCTATGTATATTCCAATAGTTCTGCTTCTAAAAGTACTATTTGATTTTTCCTTGAGGACTATCAGATAAAGAACAGAATGCCAGTAGATCTTATTTTAAATCAGAGTGCTACGCAGCCTTGTTCCTAGCCTGATGGCATCGCCAAGCCAAACAGTTACAAAATGACAGTTTGTAGTTTTACATTGTTTGCTCATGCAGAAAATGAACCTTATACATGTGAATACATAATCACAATTGCAAATCCCCATTCTCTGACCAGCTTGGTATATAAAACAACAGTGATGTCAGTTTCATGCCTAGTTCAAATAGTTCTTTGGGTTTTATCTCCAAATAACCACAGTCCAAATTACCACTGGGGTGGAAGGCAGTGCAGTCATACTATCTGTTTTCTCTAAATGCACAAGCTCTAGCAAATACCCAAAAGAATGGCTGTCTTGATTACATCTGGTGCCAAATGAGTTTTTGGATATGTCTTTCAGAGCAATTTACTTGTGACTTGGCAGGATACTGTCCACAGCTGTAGTGGAAGGACAGAATTATCAGCAGGGTTCTCTGTACTCACAAATTCAAGCTGTTCCCACGTGTCTTCAAGAGGTGTGACCGCAGGTAAGTGACATGTGCTGCATCTCTGCGTGTTACAGAAGTAAAGCCCAAACTTTCCAAGTTCTGTTCTTGATCTATTACTTCCCTTAGTTTCCTTCTGACACTCCAAGCCTGAGAGTCCTAGTCCAAAGCCATTTGGTCCCAAAAAACAGTGGGAGAGAGGCATAGCCCAATGTCAGATCATATGCACTTATGCAGAACATCTAACGTCCAGTGCCTGGCATCTTCAGTTGAAGGACCTCAGAAGAGCCAGGGTAGGAAAATCAAGAGCCTTGAAAGCCTTGAAATCAAGAGCTCCTGCCAGCCAGAGTGTCTACCACATGGGCTCATAATCTGAAGTGGCTTATGACCATCACTTCCAGAATCTAAGAGGGTTAGGTAATTTTTAAAAGGTACTGTGATCTTTCTGTCGCACCCACCTCATCTCATGCCAAGGGCCATGACTAGAAAGATAAATGGGATGGTGAAGAAAGAGGTTAGAGATCAGGGAATTGCTCGCAGAAATAACTGACTGTAGAACTAACTGGCTTGTACAAATGTCAGACTTCTGGTATCTGCTTTCCGTGTTGTTGTTTTCCAGTACCCCAAGGAGGACCACTTGGAGCCACTGCAAAATGGTGGCTTCTGAGCTCCATCAGATCCCATGAGCCATACACTGGAATGTATATACACTCATTTATACAAATCTAATTTTGAAAAGGAAAACAAAATGATGCTGTCCTCCTTCCTCCACCACCTCCTTCTTGCTATGGGATGTCAGACCCCCATTTGCTCCCAGTTTAAACAACCAGGAGTAGGACACCTTTTGCAATCTGCCAAAAGCCATCCAGCAATCTACCAGGAGATTATTCTGCTCTAACTTCTGCCCAGCTGTGCCATAGGCTATTGACAGTGCAACTCAATGAGTGTTGTGCAACTCAGTGATTGCTGGACCAAGCTCTTCTTTGCAGCCATGCAGCCCAGGATTTTGAGTGGTTTGGGGAAGGAGTAAGAACCTCACAGGGCACAATTGTGCTCCTCATCTCAGTTGCACGCCTGATGCTATTTCCTGTTCCTTCTCAGTAACTCCTGCACCAAACACAAATTACGGCTTTCATTTTTCTGCAAGCTATAGAAACTGCCACAAATCAGTGACATCCTGGAACTGTAAGAATCTGATTGTGCATCTCTGCAATTAATGGCCATAGAGATGTAATTCTTTTACTTGATTTAGAGTGGTACATTCTCCCATCCCCACTTCTTGAGAATACATTGCAACATCTTAGCATGGCTGTTCAGCAGGTGGATATTTACTACAAATCACAGCGCTGTCTCCATGATCCAATGGAAATGCGCAGAGTAAGAAGCTCATATTATCTTTCCCAAATCAAATCACCATGTTGCTTCTGGACGCCTTGGCTGTTTTAAGATAATGACCACTTCCATAGCAACAAACATCTGATGATAAACTATTCCTTTTGAGTTGGATTCTGGCATAAAAGAAATGTAAAGCAAAACCAGAAGCCTGCCCCATCATCCCTGGACACAAGCATCAAGGAAAAGATTTCTGTCTCCCACCCTGGCCTCCTGTCAATCGTTTATTGATTCCATTGTATTTGGAACAGGAAAATGTCTTCCATAAAGAAGAGTGGACCACTGCAAACACCACTGTGTGAGCCCCAATCTGTACATGATATAGGAGATGAGTGAGAAGGATTCCTTTTATGTATTTAAAAGTTAATTGTAGCTTTCATGTGCTTGCAATTTAGATCTGGACTGTAACTTTGGTAGAGGCTTTGGCAGAGGCCCCTGTGCTGTTTTGCCAATGAAAAAATAGGCGATTTCTCTTTCAGGATTGTTATTCCTCCATCCCAAGCCAGCACTGTAGTCTGGAACTAAATTCCAGGTAAACTAAGATATGCGATGATGGCAAAAAGTTAAAATATTTAAGAAAAGCAGAAGTTTGTGTTTGCTGAGCTCTCAGCACATGCACAAAAGGAGGGGGGGTATTTGTTTGTTTATTACATTTCTGTCTGCCTTCTTTCACAAAGCTCAGTCATTAGTTCTTCCTCCTCCTCATGTTATGTTCAAACCAAAATTATGAGGCTGAGAGACAGGATCTCGCCCCTGTGGACTTCATGGCTGAGTGGGGCCCTGATTGTGGGTCTTCCCATTCACAATCCAGTGCTCTACACCCTCTGTTGCACCTACCACCAACTACGGATACAGTAATCTTTGTCTGAAATAAAATCACCGAGGATTGTGATGTGTCAACTGTTCTGAAAAAGGAAAGTCCTGCTGAGTTAAAGGCAGCGTGGGAAAGTCTTGCTTCTTTTTTTTGGGTGGGGAGGATGATAGGAGTATCCATAAAATGTAGGTAGGATACCATATATTCAAAAGCCACTGTATGCTAATCCTCCATGGATTTGTCTAATCTGGCTTTAAAGCCATTTTGATTAGTTTAGCATCTCACCTTCTGGCAGTTAATGATTTCTTTCTCCATTTTCAAATCTACTGGCAATCTCTTTTCTAGATAGTTTTATCCTATATTTTTACAGGAAAAAAAAAATCTCTTAAAGCTGCTCACAAAGGCTAATACTCAATACACAGTGCCACTGTTGGGCACCATACATTGGTGAAAACAAACAACAGGCCCTGTCCATGGGCTTTCAAACTAAAAGCCCAAAACTTACAAGGGGAGGAGAGTTGTTTGACCCAATGCCAGGGTGAAGACATGAATTGCTAACAGGCAATGCTATCCAACTAGGACTAGGGAGAGCTTTCCTTGTCGTTTTTCTTAATGCAGGGATGCGCAAGCATTTCAGTCGTGAGGCTGCATGTGATGCTGGGTTGGGACAGATGGGTGCACACAGATGTTTTCTCTCTCTTCCCCCCCCCCATACACCTCCCAGCAATCCGTAGGAAGATTTCGGGGGGACAGGAGCCTTCCTTCTGTCAGCTCCCCAGCCATCCTGATGCAGACAGTCCTTTCCTCAGTACTAGCTGCAGTGAAAAAGCAATCTGTATGAAGATTGCTGAGTAGGACTTGGAGGCTGCAGATGGAAAGTCATTTGGCTTAGGTATGTCAGGAGGGCCACAAGAAAGACCATAAAAGGATGGATGAGACTAAAGGCTGTGCCTCTCCATCTTATTGGGATGCAGATGGTTCAAAATTCTCATGGTCTGTGCCAGTGATGGCAAACCTATGGCACACGTGCCACAGCGGGCACACAGAGCCCTCTCTGTCGGCACATGAGCCAAGTCACCCCAGCATCGCCCCAGCAGCCCAGCATCAGATAACAGCACACACAGGGGCCATGCGCCTGCTCGGAAAGGAGTAGTGGCACCAGGCGATGATGTCACAAGCCACGACTCATTAGCCACGACTCGTCCAAGCTTTCGCATGGCCGGTCAGTGCGCTGCCAAGGATTTATATATATTTGCTTGGATTGGCTGCGAGTTGTTTTTTGTAAACTAAAACCTCAGTATTCAGGTTTTATTGCAGTGTTGGCACTTTGTGATAAATAAGTGGGTTTTGGGTTGCAGTTTGGGCAATCGGTCTCTATCACTGGTCTATGCCTAGTAACATGAGGTGAGCAGAGAGTTCACCTGGCAAGGAGAAGAGAACGAAGCCTGCAGTCTTATATTTATCTAGGAGAAAGCCCAATGGAACTCAGTGAGATTTGGTTCTCAGAATACACATATAGCAAGAGTCACGTATAAGAGTCATAGAGCAGACCTACCTTATGTTGCAGTTCCCAACAGGTGGCTCATTTCCTGACCGATGGCTGATTATTTCCTCCTTGCTGTGATATTCTCCCTAGACGGAGGGGTTTCTGTCCTTGGTCCATGACATTAGGGTGTTCTATTTCCTCTTGACTGGTGTTGCAAGGTTGTTGTTTGGAGTCTTGGTTCATCCTGTGCCTCAGGCAGATAGGGATACTGAGTCTCCAGTTCCTCCACTGTGCAGTATGCTTACTAGCACTGTGGCTAAAGCTAACCTCAGATGCCTTCCTGGTGTAGGTTTACCCCTTTGATAACCCTCAATAAGGAAAAGTGAGGGAGCACCTTCTCTCATGCATTCCTTCCCGATTGTGAAGCCCACCTTCAGAGGCTTTTTTTCTGGATCCCACTACCTTTAGTGAGTGGTGCAATGAGTGGCTATCAGAGAATGAATCCCCAGTACTGAATCTCCATCTGCACCACTGTCTGTGAAATGCCCTTCCAAAAGTAACAAGGGTACAGCCATTTTTTAAACAGTGTATTGAAGCTTAATTCTCTTACTACCAGGAACTAAGCCTTAACAAAAGGATTCTAATCCTTTTTTTTTTTTTTTTTGGCGGGGTGCACAAAAGTTGAACAACTACCCAGCCATCAGTGGTTGAGGGAAAGAGTGCATCGCTCCCGAATACTGGCTGGATGGCAGGGTTTGTGTCTGACCATTAGGTTTCCTGCCCTGCTGCATTTAGACATCCTCCTGCTCCAGCAGTCATTTCTTTAATTCTTAGCATTTCTGCTGGCTCTTTAATAACTTTTGGTATTTGAAATAGTTTAGGGCACTTTCCTATGAAAGGTTAGACATAAAAACAGTTGAAAAACTCCCAGAATAGCCCATCTGGAAGCATGCTAGAGCATACTAGAAATTCTAATACTTGGTCTAAAATTGCATAGGATTGTCCCTTTAATAATGTATTCTTTTTCTTTTCTATAACACCCAAAAACCAAAGCACGCTGAGAAGTTCGCAATGGTTGTATTTATTGTTTTATGACTGTAAACCACACTGATGGCATCAGCCAGGTGAGTGGCATATAACTATAATAATTACATCATAAGAAATAAACAGAAATCAATGCCACATTGTTGACTTAAAAAACCCCCTGTCCATTCATTGTAGTCTACATAATTCCCAACATCACATTTCCAACGTGCTTTTTCTAAGTCTAGTTAGCTGAGCCAGGGTCAAGCTAATAAGCTTTGCACATCCTGCTGTTTTACAGAGACAGAGCTGAATTGCAAATGAGATTTGCAGTTTTTCTGGCACTAGAATAAGAGTTCTATTTATTAGTCATGGATTTTTTAAAGTTAAAACTAGGGCTTGTTAAGGGTGTTTGCTTATCAGAATATAACTTTGTCTAAACTTCCCTTTGCAAGTTAACAGGTCAATCTGGTCAAAATGCAGTGTTTCAGCACATGAATGATTAGGCGTATTACATCTTTTAAGATGTGATAGATGCTTGCAATTCCCTTGGTACTATAGTGTGGCATCTCATTAACTGGTCCAGTTTAATTATTTTCAGCTCTAATTTTTTATTTATTTCATTGATTCTATCTACATCGGCGACCTTTTATCCAAGGAACTCAGAGTGGGTCTCGCACTGCATTTTATCACCGTACAGGAGATTAGTGTAACAGAGTCACTGGTGCAAAAAACTCAGAGGGCTTCGTGACTGGCTAGGGACTGAAACTAGGATCTCTTAGTCCTTCAGTCAGGAATAGGCAACCTTGAGTCCTCCAAACGTATTGAACGACAGCTTGTTATTCCAGGCCATTGGGCATGCTGGCTGGGGCTGATGTGATTTGAAGTTCAAAACACAAGGAGGCACAAGATCAAGGAAGACTTGTCATTATATATCACTTTAGCTCTCAAATTTAGGCTTCACGAGGTCTAACAATGGAAAATTCTCTGTAAGGAAAGTCATGACACTGTTTATGAGGCTGCTAGTTAAGCTCTTAAGAAGGCGAGATCTCCGTATGTATAGTTCAGCCTTTCGCAACCTGGCACCTTCCAGTTGTTTCGCACTACATTTCCACTCAAGCCCCGCCAGCGTCGTCAATGGCGGTGCTTGACGAATGCATGACGGGAGTCGTAGTCCGACCCCTCGGGAGGGCGTCAGGTCGTGAAAGCGGCAGCTGGAATCTTTTTGGGCGAAGCGGTTAGAACGCACAAAGGACAGGAGAAAGCCGCGCAGTGACGTCACGCCAGACAGCCACTCCGACTCGCGGAAGGGGAAGGTGGCACCCGGGAGGTCGCACGGGATTGGCTGCCGGCGGGGGAGGCATTCTCCCTCCCCTCCGCTCGCCCCGCTCCTAGTCCTGCGAATAGTTGCCGCTTGATGGGCAGCCGGCTGCTCGCGCTGGTGCCGCGTCAGGGCTGTTCTCACTGGGAAGCGTAGCTGCGGGAGCGCCGCTCTCTCGGCTCGGCTCGGCTCGGCTCGGCTGTGCCTTCCAGGTAGGTGAGGAGGAAGGGCGCAGGGACTCTGCGGACGACGGCTTTGTGGCGAGAAGCTGCCGCCGCCGGAGGATCTGTGCAGCTGGGGCCTAGGCACCTCCACGGATCCCGGGAGCACATGCTGCTGTCGCTGCCATTCCTGCTCCAGATCGTGCCGCGTGGTCTAGAGCCAGGCTTTTCCTGGCATCCTCTCGCCTAGGCCTCTGGGGGAAAGCAGAGGGACCCGGGCGAGGACCAGTCTCCTCCTGGCTAATCCTGCCTTACGTTTAACCGGGCGTTCCGACAGCGCTCTCTTAACCTCATCGCCTTTCCTCGTTTCTCTTCGGTCTGTCAAGCAACTGTTCTCAGGCTGATCTGCCCCAGATCTGTTGGGCTACAGTTCCCAAAATCCCCGAGGCACCTTGCTGGGGAATGTTCCTCCATCCGGTACTGGAACACACCTCCCGGGACACGCATAAACACCTTGCACTTTGCAAATTGTGGCCCATCATTTCAGATGGGGAAGGCGGCTGTTTTAAGCAACTTACACTCAGGGAGGGAATGTGTTTTCTCCAAATGAGGTGTTCTTTGCAGGTAATTTAGTTGTCCAAATTCCTGCCCCAAGACTGTTCTGGAGTAAGTTTTCTGTAGACCAGTGTATCTTGATTGGTGGCCCACTTTATTAAAAGACAACAAAAACTGGTGATTCATTCTAAGTAGTGATGGAGAACTTGTTGATCTCCAGAAGTTGTTGGACTGCAGCTCCCATTATCCCCCACCAATTGGCAGTGCTGGTTGGGATGGATGGAATTAGCCTGAGGGTGAATTAAGTTTTCTGTCTGACTTTTCTGGTAGACAACATTTGCAGCTGATTTAGACAGTTCCAGATAAAATGTGACTACACACTTAACATAGTTTTAGTACCAGGGATTACTTGAACAACCTTTTTGTAGTCACAGTGAGGGTGGCTAGGAATGTGGATTCTTCTATCTTCCATTGCATGTATATTGTTTTGCAGATTAGGTAGGAAGCTTGTTTTCTGAGCTCCCTCCTAGTTTAAGAATAACTTGTTATGTTCCCAGTTACTGCCTTTAGTACTTTTTGGGTATGGCTGCTTGTCTACAGAACAAATTTTAGTACAACAGCTTCCCGGGACACAGGGCTGTCATCTTTGTTTCTTGACTTTCTTGTAATCTGTTAGCTTGTCGTGCAAGCGTTATCCATCCTACCACTTATTCATGTGACAGAGAAAACTTTCCATTTCTGCCACCGTTAAGCACAGAAGCCCTGGGTAGATTTGGAAGGGTCTTTGCTAGGGGTCATAGTTGACCTCTGCTAAGAAGAAATATTTGAGCTTGACAATACACATCATGTGTTTTGTTTCATTCTTGGTTGTCATAAAAGGCATCTTGCATTAAAAGTGTTTTTAAAATGTGTTAAAATACCATATATGGGATGGTGGGAGACAGGAAGGCCTGGAAGAATGTTGTCCATGGGGTTGTGATGGGTTGGATGCGACTTCGCGACTAAAAACATTTCTCATGTAGTCCTTAAAAAGCCAAGCGGAGTGAGGCATATGACAATGCAGTTTACACTAGTCCGGTAGCAATGCTGTAGCCGAGGGTCAGAAGCTTGTGGTGCTGAGCTCAGTGGGACTGAGATGGGTGCAGTGGTTCTGATGAAGTTTACTTCTCATTTGCCCTTCCAAGAACAACTGCTTTTTTGCAATAAATGAGAAATTGAGGAAGGGACACCAAATAACTGAGAATAAGTACATGGAGCTGTCTTGTCCTGATAGCTGTAATAGTCAAATGGTTAAAACTGCCTTGTTCGTGTCCATGCCTATAGTTCTCTATGTATATTCCAATAGTTCTGCTTCTAAAAGTACTATTTGATTTTTCCTTGAGGACTATCAGATAAAGAACAGAATGCCAGTAGATCTTATTTTAAATCAGAGTGCTACGCAGCCTTGTTCCTAGCCTGATGGCATCGCCAAGCCAAACAGTTACAAAATGACAGTTTGTAGTTTTACATTGTTTGCTCATGCAGAAAATGAATGTTTTACATGTGAATACACAATCACAATTGCAAATCCCCATCCTCTGACCAGCTTGGTATGTAAAACAACAGTGATGTCAGTTTCATGCCTAGTTCAAATAGTTCTTTGGGTTTTATCTCCAAATAACCACTGTCCAAATTACCACTAGCTGTCGAAAGGCAGTGCTTGTTTCAAAGCAAAGCAGTGTGGTTGCTAAAGTGATAACTAAGCTGTGTGGAAGTATTTTGGGATGTATTGGGTAAGAATATCTTGGGTGCTATACCTATAAAGTTGGTTGCAAATTTTGTTTTTATAATGTAAGACAAAGGCCAGGGTTTCACATTCCTTATGTTTATACATGCAGAAGTACAGCTCATGCTTTGAACAATGCAGTTGGAAAGGCCTTGCAAGCCAAATAGGCTAAGTACCTGCTCTGTGAAGGTACAGAAGTGATCCAGAGGCAGAGATGGTGGTCCTCTCCCTACATGGAGGTCCTTCAGCAGCCCACTAGGCAACTGTCAAACTGTGGTTGTTATCAAGATGTTTAACCAAAGTCTGTCCTTCTGTAGGTTAGGTCTAGTCCTGTTTTGAGGGGCAGCCTCCTTCAGTTTTTGAAGAGAGTTTCTTCACGTGAGGGCTGCAGTGGGTTGCGTCCAGCAATGTTGTTCTGTTGAAGTATTCCATTAGTGAAGCTGGGAGAAGGGAGATACCTCCTCCTCAACCCACCCCTGAGCGATCTGCAGCTTAGCATCTAGTCCAAAGGATTTGAAAATGTCCTGGAGTAGATTTTTGGAAGGGACACTGAGAAGAGGGCATCCCAGTGCATGAGCAGGCACCCACTAGTGCAATGTGGGGTTGCATCCACAGCCTCACACCTGCTCCACCTTGATCAGTCCTTTCTTTATCACTGGGAGTAGGCTTGGAGCAAGGGAGGGAAATCTGTGGCCTTCCACGTAATGGTAAGCTAAGGTTCCCTTCATCCTTATCACGGGCCATGCTGGCTGGAGCTTATGGGAGCTGAAGCACCTCTGGAATGTCACATGTCACTCACTCCAGACTACTTGTGGCATAAACTTTGAAGCTCCTGTTTTTTCATGCACTACTTACCACTTTTCTTCCTGTCCTTTGTTGGGCTTGCTCTCAGTTCCTGGCAGGTGCTCATTAAGAACCACTTGCTGTGCAGAGGTAATATATGCCAAATTTAGTCTAATTTAAGTCCCATTCATTTGCACTGTGTACTCTAAGTAGGACTAACCTTGGATGCAACCCTTTGTTCTGCTTCTGCTCACAGTTTGTGGTGGCCGGAGGGACTGAAATAAGGAGGCTTTTACCTGCACAAGCATCTCATGGTTCTACCTTTTTGTGAATACATTTAACTTGAAAATTGCCTCTTCAATCAAGTATGGTTGTATTTGTAAAGGAATTACATTGCTGTTCAAAAACCCAGCAAACCAGCATCAAGTGAATAACGTTACAACAACATAACATAACATAAACTTCTAATGTAATGCACTTATAGGATGCACGCTCTTTTTCTAGGAACAAAGCAGTTCAGAAGATCAGCATGTGAGTCTGAGCATACGTGCAGTTGAATACTTTGGACTGATGTCAGTTTGGGACACATTCTTGGTTTCCATGAGTGTCCCGAACTGCTCGGGTCCATTGATCCAGCTCTATCACCCTGTGTCGTGTAACACCTTTTAGTAGTCAAGTCAGAGCTCTGGCTGCATCTAGATTAGATTGTTGTAATGCATTCTGTGCAGGTCCAGGATAGTAGGTGTCTTGGAGACTCTTTGGAAGTGTCCGCTGGTTCGAAATACCGCTGCTAGGCTATTAACCGGAACAAACTTCAGTGAATGCAAATATGAAATTTATTCCCCAGATGCCAAACTGTCTCTGCCACAGTTCAAGATTGGTTGTCACATGGAATGGACTAAAAGTCTCAGTACCTGAGTAACTGAAAGACTGTCTTTTCCTACATGTAGTTGCCAATGTAAAGGCTCTTCTCTCAGCAAAGACATCAGATTGTTAGAGGCTGTTCTCTCAGCAAAGGGAGTGATGTGGATTTCTTGGAAACTGAAAACAGCACTTCTCTTACACTCTTTAAATATAAGGAGAAAGGAGAAATTCATGAAAACTGTTGGTACCCAGATAAATTTGTGCACCCCAAAGAGTTATCATGATATGCTGACACCCAGTCATCTTTTACTTGGAACTGCCAAGCTTCTCCAGTATTGTGTACAACTGCTATCAATTCATTATTAAGTAATGAATATATGAAATGAAAAGTGCTGAAGATAAAGCACTGGAAATTTTTCTGCCTCACAGTACTGCCCTGTAGGTGAAAAACTAGCCAAGCAGAAAGAAAAGTGCAATTGGTCTGCTGAGCTCTTTCAATTTGCTGGCAGTCATTTTGACATGGGAAGCATTAACAATTGTTTCTCAGCATTCTTGTTAACAGGTTACCTGTTCATTCTTTTGATGTCTTAGGAACTCCAGTTGTTCCAAAAAATGTGATAAGTGGAGAAAGGGCTTTCTACTGTGGTGCCCAGTACATGGAATCCTTCCCCAGAGAGATTCAGTTTGGGCGATTTCTGTATCTTCTGGAACAATGGGTAATTGGCAGCATGCTGTTAATTATGGCTTCTGTGCTGTTCCTTATGTTAAATCATAACTGTCTTGGTTTTACAGCAGAATTCTAAGGAGAACAAACAGACCTTTCATCCCCCTTGTTTCTTTTCATTTTGCACAACTGTGACTTTCGAAGCAGCTTATGTTGCCTGCCTTGTTTACTTTGTCTCTGCCATTGTCAGGTTTTTACCATGCTCCGAACATTCAGGTGTACTGGTGGTAGGTTCGAGAGCCACCTTTCAAGGTGGCAGCATTATCACAAATCTGTCCTGGCCATCAGGAGGGAGGATGTCAATGCCTGGGAGAGAAGAGCCCCCCTGGCTCCACGGCATGTCAAGCTCTTAACCAACCTGGGGTACAAAGTCTTGGTGCAGCCGTCCAATCGGCGGTCCATCCATGAAAAGGTTAGTACCGATGTACTTGTGATGTGTCTAATGAAATTGAAGATCATAAAAGAATGTGAAAGCTTTTGAGACCTCCACATCCCTTCTTCAGGCCTGATGAAGTAGGTGGTAGTGATGGAAATAGGATAGGGGTAGGGGGCTAATTGGATGTTTTAGCTAGGCTTCCTGCATAGTCAGAGGTCAAAGTAAACTTGCTTGTAATGATGCATAGCTGAGCTACACATCATAGACTTATTTACTTCATATAAGTGTTGTGTAGTCACAATTTGATCAAGACCAGATCACTATGAGAGGGAGAGTTTTATGTTTTCCTCCCATCTGTTTTTCTACTGAATTTCCATACCTATTGGGGTCACCAAGTCTCCCTATTGGAGACTTTTTAAAACTGCTCTGCAGGGAATGTAATTTTGAAATGAAAATGGGTGTGTGTGGAGAGCTTAACCACCCCCGCCCCCCAGAATGGCACAGTTACAGCCTGTATCAAGGCCATACTGGAATAAATATGTTTATTACACTTGGTGTGTAGCTTGGTTCTCTAATTGTACAGACATCCAGGCTAAAGCATCCAATTAGCCTTTTGGAAGAAAGTTTGCAGACTGTGCCACATGATACGGTGATTTTATTTTTTCAGTTTACTGAGGCCACAGGTAAGAAAGAAATGGCAAGTGTTGATCCTCCATTTTTGAAAAACGTAAAACTCTTGAGCATAAGAAGAAAACAGGTAGAGCATGCATTAGTCTTACACGCTGTCTGGAACTGATAGAGCAAAGAATGTCATTTAAATTATTGAGAAATATGGGGAAGGCAGTGCCCGAAGGTTGTGGGGCTATTGCCAGAAATTATGTTAGAGAGGGACTGAGCAGCTGGAAAGGCCTAGGGAAGAAGAAGTGGAAAAAGCAAATGCAGCAGCCAAGGAAAAGTAGAGAGAGTGGGAAGAAAGGTGAAGAGCCAGGAACAGCAAAGGTGAGCCCCTTGTGTAGAAAACTTTAACTGAAACCATCAGTCTCTTATACAAAAATAGTCATTGTTTGATATTGCAGTCTGTTACATCAGGTGTATGTAGATTCATCTAGGACTGGCAGAGGAATGTATAATTGCAAGTCCTGCTTGGTTCCGTGAACCAACTTCCCCACAGCCTTGTGTGGCTCACCTAAGAATTAGTACTTCTTCCTGAGAGAAATGTCTATAGGAACTATCTGAATGTTGTCCACCTTTGTTCCATTTGGTTCAAGATGTTGACATTGCTTCCATTCCCCGTTTGCAGGACTATGTGAAAGCTGGTGGTATTATACAGGAGGATATTTCAGAGGCCTGCCTGATTGTGGGTGTGAAGAGGCCTCCAGAGGATAAATTAATTCCCAACAAGAACTATGCATTTTTCTCTCACACAATTAAAGCTCAAGAGGCAAATATGTCTCTGTTGGATGAAATCCTAAGCAAGGTAGTACAGTGCTTGACAGAGTTTGCTATCCATTGTTATAACGTCCTTGTGAAATGGGCTACGAGTTCAACGGGCTGAGAATATTTGCAAAGTGTGGTACTGCCTTTCCACAACATGGCAATGAAATACCCATGGAATGTGTCTCAGAACCTTTGAAGGCAAACCCCACACTGGACACAATGCATTGGGTCAACACTTGGCACTTTCAAGCCTCATTGATACCAGTGTGAGGATTTTAGGTTGCAACCCTGTACACACTTGCCTTGGTGTACGTCCTGCTGATTTCAGTGCGGCTTACTACTGAATATACGTGTATAAGTTTGCACTGTTAGGCATGTATTTGATTCTTGCATTGAAACTAAAACATGGGACCAAAGGGTGCTTACCTTTAAATGAATGATGCCCATATTCTTCTGGTAGTACCTTTTTGTTAAGTGTATTTACTATTTACCATATTTTTCGCTCTATAAGTCACGCCTGACCATAAGACGCACCTAGTTTTTAGAGGAGGAAAACAATAAAAAAATATTCTGAATCAAATGGGCACATAATCACAGGCACATTCCCCATCACTTCCCCATGGGCTGCACATCTGACAGTCTTACTGCACACACATATTTGCTCTATAAGACACACAGACATTTCCCCTTCCTTTTGAGGGGGGGGGGAAGTGTGTCTTAAAGAGCAAAAAATACAGTATTTATTTATTTTAAACTTTTGTATGTCGTCACCACATGCCTTGGCATCTCGGGACGGCTCACAATACATACAATTAAAAACAATAAAATGATCTTTATAAATAACAAATTCAATAAAAGATTACATAAGGACAAAAAACTGAAAACAAAAAGAACGACTGTTCAACAATAAAATATTAATTTTTAAAATAGCAATTAAATAAAAAGGTTTTAACCTGGGGCCATGCGCTAACTATGGATGCTATAGATCACATTTTTCTTTACACGAGAAATTGTGGACTCTACAATTGTGGACTGACCCATTCTAGTAGCTGTTCAAGCTCATTGTGGTCATGGAAAGCAAAAAAAGGGCTCACCTATCTTCTCACAGCAGCTTATCTCCTGGGTGGTCAATACCATACGATTAACCTACCATCTAGTTGGACTTGAGCTTGACACTGTATTACGTATCTGATTGCTTAGGACAGTGGTGTCTTCTGCAGCTTTTATTTGGGGGTGGGCATTATCAGATGTTTGCAAGGCAGCAAAGTGGTTCACACTGTCTAACTCTGGAGAACATCTGTACTGTGCTGTATAGAAGAAGATGTACAAAGTGAACTGACACTAAGAAACACTTCATTTTTTGGCTTGGGAGGGCAGAGAGCCTATGTCTAAAACTGCTGATTTCCTCTAATGCCATTTTTCAACTTGTATAATTTTTCATAATTTACACAGTATTCAGCTTGTATGCAAAACAAATACAACTTGAAGAAACAAATACATTTTCCCTACGCAACCACTGTTGAAAAGAAGGCAAATGGAGAGTTCATCTTTTCTTCTCCTCAGGATGGCACGGGATATTCACAGAACATTGTGTTCAATTTTTATATAAGACCTGATTCTGGCATCCATCTAGTTAAGGAGTGGGATTTGCCATAAAAAGGATTGTTTTAGTCTTTTCAAATGAATGTGCTTTACCGGAACATCAATATATACCTTGTTTGTACTTTTAGAACATTCGATTGGTAGATTATGAGAAAATGGTGGATCACCGAGGAGTGCGAGTTGTAGCCTTTGGAAAATGGGCCGGTGTTGCAGGTATTCCGAACAAATATTGATCTTGTGGAAGAAGAATATTATGTGGTATAACTGTTATTGGCTAGTTATCAAGAGGTCAGGATGGAATGGGGAAGAACGTTGCTTTCTCGAGTCTCATGTTGCTTAGCTTACTTGCTTAGATCAATTGTTTCTCCTAAGCAATTGTTTCTCCTAAGCAATGTCACTGGTAATCATGTTCAAGCCTGAAGCAAGCATCAGGCCATAGGTCATGCTATCAGGTTAGGTCAATATTGTCTATTCAGGTTGGCTTTCTAGGATCTTGTACAGGGACCCCACCTGTCAAGTCTCACCTCTTCCTTTTATTTGGAGATGCCGGGGACAGAACCTGGGACTTTCTGCATGTGTTCTACCACAAAACCATCTTCCTGACCCATTCCCCTTGCTCATTTTTTTAAAAAGTAGCACAAGACCAATCCAGTGGTTAACCTGCTACCTTGCTAAATCCAAAGGATTAGCAATAGTTTTTTCAGTGCAATCCTATACATGTCGGTTCAGAAGTAAGTCCAACTGAGTTCAACAAGACTTAATCTCAGGGAAGCACATACAACAGTCTTCTCCAGCTCAGGCCCTTCCATATGTCTTGGATTACAACTCCCCTAATCTCTGAGCATTTTCCTTGTAAACTGGGGCTGATGAGAGCTGTAATCCAAGACATATGGAAGGGCCTGAGCTGGAAAAGGCTGGTGTATAGGATTGCAACTGTGGTCACTTGAGGCACTGTGATTCCATGCCCTCTTCTAATTCTGTTGCTTCTGTCAGCCAAGTGATTCTGTTGCAGAATTAATAACAGTTTCATTTCATTCTTGCGTAGGTATGATCAATATTTTACATGGAATGGGATTAAGATTTCTTGCTCTGGGACATCATACTCCTTTCATGGTAAGGCTATATGCCAAATTCCACGCAAAGCACTAACCTGAAAGACATACTGGCCAACTAATGTTCTGCTTCTGGTTTCAGCACATTGGGATGGCTCATAATTACAGAAACAGCAGCCAGGCCGTGCAGGCAGTTCGAGATGCTGGCTACGAGATTTCCCTAGGCTTGATGCCGAAATCTATTGGGCCCATAACGTTTGTGTTTACAGGCACTGGTAATGTCTCTAAGGTAAGGCGTTCTTCAAAAGTGTAACATTAACTAATTTTTCTCATAGGATTACAGTGTTAGCTAAGAATATTATTCGCGTCAGGAGAGCACATAGCTTTCATAAAACTTTCCAGTGTACAAATTGCATGTTATCTCCCATGTAAAAATAAGGAGATCTAAGTATAGATTGTCTCATGGGGAACACAGGAAGCTGTTTTATGTTGAGCCAGACCACTGTTCCATTTAGCTCAGTACTGAACATAGCCTTCTCCTACTTGGTGCCTACCAAATGTTTTCAGACACTTGATGGGAACTGAAGGCACCATGCTGGGGAAGCTTGGTCCATGATGACTGGCACACAGCTTTGAGAGGAGATCTTTTGCAATACCTAGCTTGAGAAGCCAAGATTTGAGACCTTTTGCACACAAGCTGTATGCTCAGCTCTGTCTCTGAGCCACCATTGAGCCTGAAACCTTTGGAGAAGTGTAAGAAAAGTGAGATATACCTGTAGCTGTCCCTTTCCATCTGGCGTTGCTAGCTGTCTACACTGGACAGTATCTTACGAACTGTCTACTAGAGAGGAAGAGAAGGGAATTGAAATAGAACGGCTGGCACACTCGGTCAGTCATCCCATGAAGCTGATTGGTGGGAGTTTCAGAAGAGATGAAAGGAAGTACTTTTTCACCCAGCACGTCATTAAAACTATGGAATTTCCTTCCACAAAAAGTGGTGATGGCCATCAATTCGGATGGCTTTAAACAGCGGATTGGGCAAATTCATGAAGAAGAAGACTATCAAGGGCTACTAGTCCTAATGATTGTATGTGCTACCCCAAAACTGGAGATAGCATATCTATGTATGCTGGTTGCTGGGGAACATGGGTGGGAGGTGCTGTTGCACCCATGTCCTGTTTGTAGGTTTCCTGTGGGCAGCTGCTAGGCCACTGTGTGAACAGAATGCTGGTCAGGGAGGATCTGGGGTTGATCCATCACAGCTGCTGGCATGGTCTTACATTCTTCATAAGAAAATACGTAGAGAATGAGACAAAGGCAGAGATGGGGAGAGTGCCCCAAAGCTGCAGCAGTGAGCAATGTGGATTTGAATTCACGTATCCCTGGTCCAAGTCCTGTTCCACACCATCCTCTGCAGCACCACAATGCGGCTTATAGAATAGAAATATCGTTACTGTGACTGCCCAATGCCTTGAGTTATTTGTTAAAGCTAACACAGCTCTGGTCATGTTCTTATCTGCAGGGTGCCCAGGAAATGTTTAATGCACTGCCTTGTGAGTTTGTGGAGCCCCATGAGCTAAAGGAGGCCTCTAGAACTGGAGGTACTATTACGCAGTTATGTGTTAGAAACATAGAAACAGAGCGAGTCAGAAGGAGTCTCCCAGACCATCTAGTCTGACCTCCGGCATCAGCCGGCTCCGCTCACAACATGCCCACCATGTGGACATCCACCCTATCCTTGAACACCCACACTGATGGGGCCTCAACGACCGCTCGTGGAAGCCCATTCCACACCCTCGGGGTCCTAACTGTCAGGAAGTGCTTCCTGGCATCCAAATGGAACCTTGGCTCCCTGAGCTTTGCTCCATTGGAGCGGGTCCTGCCTTCCTCTGCAGGGGAGAAGAGGTCTCTACCCATCTCCATGTGACATCCCCTCACATAACTGTGTGTCGCCAGCAGATCCCCTCTGAGTCTCCTCTTCTCCAGGCTGAAGAGACCCAGTTCCCTCAGTCTCGCCTCATACGGCATCCCCTGCAAACTGGCCACCAACCTTGTGGCCCTACACTATGTGTTGTGTTAATGCTCTGTGGTGTCTAGTATTGTCTAACTTCCTGTGCTCCCTGACAGACCTCCGAAAAGTGTATGGTACAGTGCTAAGTCGGCACCACCATCTTGTGAGGAAGAGTGATGGGGTGTACGACCCCGTGGAATACGAGAAACACCCTGAACTCTACACATCTCGGTTTAACACTGATGTGAGTATGGTGTTTTGGGTCTCCAGTTTAGGAGCCTCTTGTCCTCTGAACTGTTTAATTGGAAGTTCCTTGATTGTCCAGACATCAGTGGCCTAAAATACTGGGTTAATTTTGGCACTACATGAATGAAACAAAAAGTAAGCTGATGGTTAACTTGGTCAGGTAGGGGCATCCTGGGGCCATGTGGGGTCCTTGGAAGCCTGTGGTCTGGCCTGCACAGGGAGTCCAGGCCTGCCATTCGGTCCATCAGCATGTTGGGAAGAAGATGGAGCTTTTCTGGAGGAGGTGCATGGAAATGAACCTTCCCCAGCTGTTGTGAGGCTGGGTCAGGTATGCAAGGAAGGGAGGGCCAAATTTCCTATGAAATATATATGTGGTGAGAATAGAGGGAAAACCCTGTATGTGAATGTGGGGGAGGCCAGGGGGATCACCTTCACATACCTGGCTCTGGCCATGCCCACTGACTTGAAGAACACATATTTCTGATGCCCCATGAAGAGGTGAATAGGAAGCCAGAGGAGTCGTGAAGCCAAGTCTCACAGGGACCCAGCACCAGAACTGTTTGATTAGCAGGGGTGCTCACATCATCTGCCGTGTCCGTTCCCATTCCCCTTGAGATTACCCGCAATTCCTCAAAGCGACTGGTAGGAAATGAATTTGATAGCAATGACGAAGTTATTGGCTTAGTCTTGAATGAGCAATCCAGACCCATTAGCTCTCCCAGCGGAGATGAAAACTGCTGGGACTGGTTTGTTATGGAACAATGCAATTGCCAGAATGTTTAGGCTCTCCTTGGGGACGTGACTATGGGGGCCGCTATGATGATTGCCTGCCCTTTAACATGTACCACTGCACCACCGTGTGAGATACACTGTTGGCAGCAAAGTTCCTCTCATATCGCATTTGCTTTGCTTATTGAGTCACACAAGCTAAGAACTAGGATCAGGGGGTTTAACTGTTGCCACAGATGGTAAGGAATGATCGACTTCACTCTACAGATTGCACCATATGCTACTTGCATCATAAATGGGATCTACTGGGAGCCGCACACCCCGCGATTGCTAAGCAGGCAGGATGCACAGAAGCTTCTGACTCCTCTCCGATCTTCTGCTGCTGGGACAGAGGGCTGCCCTGAATTGCCGCACAAGTAAGAAATGCTGGCCTGCAAGAAGGGGCACTGCTGACGCGGTTTGCTTGTGAACAAATATGAGTTCGATTGTAGGTCACAAAGCAGTGGATCTAGACGTGTGCTCGGTAGAATTTGGCTGACACTAGAAGCAGTAAGAGGAACTCCATTTTTCTTCCAGTTCATGATTAGGCAGAAAACAATCCCGTGCACTCCTGCATGCTGGGAGTTGTGGGATTTCATGGACTGGGTAACATTCCCCCACTGGTGAAAGCTAGCTGCACTGGGAAGGTACCGGTTAAAGCACCTGCAGAATCCGCCCTTCAGTTCATTGCTAAGCAATTTTTTCTGAGTATATGGGGTTTTTTTTTAACATGTAACTTGTTTTCATCACTAATGATTTCTGCTCCAGCTTGTTCCAATGTTGGTGTACTTTTACACCGCAGTGAGCTTCCACTGGCAGTAGAAAATACAGATTATGGATTGTGAGTGGTCTTACAGCAAGGAGTTTGGATTGAACTACTACTTAAAAATGGTTAAAACCAGGCCCGTTTGAAGACAAAGCAGCCATGGGGTCCTGATCCTGGGCGCATTTAAGATAGTGCATCCAAGAGCAAAGGGCAATTGGAGAAGCAGTGCTTGGGCTGAAATGGGTGAAGGGCACCAGTCCACACTGGGGGCACGTTCTGGACTAGAGTCCGCTCCTGCTTTTTCTTTTAAGTAAAAGTAGCCAGCTGTAGCCCATTTCCCAAAAATTGTGCATAGCCTGGTGTGCACTAGTGTCTTCGGGACACATGGGGGAAAGGGCAGACAAAAGGGCTTTGCTCTACTGCTGTGGTTCTTCAAAGAGTGAAGCAGCAGTTGCCAGGGGAGTCAGAGAGAGTCCTCAGTGGTTGTTTTCCTTGCTGATGCAGGGATATCCACAGCGACAGCCTCTCTGCTAGGTGGGCAATCCTGCTTCAAAACTTTTAACAAGTGGAAGTCCATTTCACGGCAGTCTCTTCCACAATCAAGCAGCTTCTCCTGTCAGGAAATCCTTCTGTAGTGATTAGGATCAAAACTACAGCTGCAGTTTGTTTACTTCTTTTATTTGATACATTTTTATACCCTGCCTGTAGCCAGTTAGCTCTCTGGATGGTTTACAAACATTTAAAATATGAAACAGACTCCAACATGACAATAAGATAAAACCTAGAACAAGTTACAATCATGATCAGTAAGAACAAAATATATAACCGATAACAGTAATGAACAGAATATGAAACCACTAACAATAATAAACAATTCACACACAGCGTCAATATAATTTATATTGTTGACATACATATATATCTATATCTTTCTATATATATATCTCAACAATTAAATACTGAATAAAAAGGTTAGAGCTTGGTGCTGAAAGGTGTGATGCGTTGGTGGCAGGCACACTTCTCTGGGAAGCTGGTTCTGCAACTGGGGTGCCACTGCTGAAAAGGCCCTTCTTCAAGTAGCCACCTTTCTTGCATCCTTTACAGGTGGCTCCTAGAGAAGGACCTCTGACAGTGACCTTTGGGTCTGGGCAGGCATGTCTGGGAGGAGATGTTCCATCAGATATGCAGGTCCTAAACCATTCAGGGCTTTATATGTCAATGTAAGCACCTTAAAGCCAGCCTGGAGTTCAATTGGTAACCTGTGCAGATGATATAAGACAAGCGTAATATGCTCATGCCTCACAGTTCTTGTTAGGAGGTGAGCTGCCCTGTTTTGAACCAACTGGAGTCTCCAGACCATTTTTAAGGGCACCCCCATGTAAAGCGCATTACAGTAGTCCAAACAAGAGGTTACCAGGCCATGGATCACTGTTGCCAGGCAATGGATATAGTCATACCTGGGGAATGCAAACCATGTATCAAAGTCCTGACATGAGCTATAACAACCGATTTCCAAACGCGGACGATCAAAGGGACCACATTCCCTCGCATGCCACCGAGTCTTGTACAGTCTAGTTAGGAGTCCTCACCTGCCTTGCAGAACTGTAGTTCCCAGGTTTCCCAGGGGAACACAGTTTGTGCTGTAAATCTACTTTGAATAGTCTGGCTGGTTCAGCTGTTGATTTCTCTTGATGCTGTGGGTGGCTGTGCCATTGGGAGTCATACCTTCAGGAGGCTGTAAATTGAAAATGGCTTCTTCACTGTGGATGCTTTTCATTTATTTTTAAATCACCCCTTCTAGACTTGTTGCGATATGCGACATCTCAGCTGACACTGAAGGATCGATAGAATTTATGACGGAGTGTACAACAATCGACAGCCCCTTCTGCATGTATGATGCCGATCAGCACATTATCCATGACAGGTGAGAGACCCTCCCTAATTTGTCTGGGCTTGCTCTTGGGTTAATAACTCTGTTTCAAAGCAGCAGCAACAATTATACTAGGTTGCTTTATTAATGGAGGTGAAAAAAAAAGCCAAAGCTTCTCCCAGCATTTAAAGGCCTGGATCTTTAAGGAGGTTCACAGAAAGTTCCCTGCAGCCTCTCTGGAGAGCTGGAGGTACCCAAGGGGCTGCTGAGGGAAGTGGGGGATGGGAAAATTTCCTTAAGTCAATTTACTTTAAAATCTAAGCTGTCCCTCCTCCAGCAGTCTGCTACATAGTCTAGGAGACCCCCCCCCCCAAAAAAAAACTTCTTGGCCATTTTATGGGGGCAGTAGGTAGAAATGGCTTTATGGAGAAGAAACAATGAGAAACTTTTCCTCTGGACTTTAAGTTATCATCTTAGGTGCAAACCCATGGTGTTACTTCTTTTTCTTCTAACATCTTCTCCCTACCGTTTTATCCTCACAACACCCTTATGAGGTAGGTTAGGCTGATGACTTGCAAAGTATTTGTGAGGTGGAATCAGACTGCTCTGTCTTCCAGTGTGGAGGGATCTGGGATTTTGATGTGTTCAATTGACAACCTGCCAGCTCAGCTTCCTATAGAATCAACAGAATGTTTTGGGGACATGCTCTTTCCTTACATCGAAGAAATGGTAAGTCAGGTATATTTTGTTTTGAACAAATGGGTGCTTACAGGTTTGTAAATTGTGCTGCTTTCAGTCTGCCTTCTCCATTAGAAATCTGCTGTAAAACTTAACTGGCTTTCAAGAAATGTCTGTTCGAAATCTTTTTTACAGTGTTGGTTCTGTTGCATCAATGGTGTAGGATAGATTAAGCAGGATCTTTACAAATAAGATTTCATTGGACAGGTTTTCTTCTCCAGCTCCTCAAGCCCATAGGTTTCAAGAGTGCTTCCCGGTGGCTAGTAAATATTGGTGAAATGGGAACCGACACCAGCCTGTCTTATCGGAGCTGTTCCAATAAAATAGACCTGTCCGTTTTGTCCAATGAGTGGCTGTTCTTTTGCAGCATGCGCTTCTGCCATGCTGACCTGGCCAGTTGCCTGGAGAGGCAGCTTCACCCCCTCTCTTTCTGGTTGGCTGGCAGGATTAATTTCTTCTCGCCAATGTTATCCCAAAGCCAAATCTGACTGGCTTTTGGTGTCACAACATCACACTCACTATGTGAGTGGTTGGGAGCGTTCAATGAATTGCTCTTTCACGTGGGGATAAAATGGTGCTGATGCAGCAACTCAAGATCGGGGAAGCAGCAGCTCTGAAGAAACGCGATAATACATCAACACTCTACTGTCTACTCTTGCACTCGTTCGGGGGATGGACAGGCAATGGTGGTAGACAGACTCTTTTTTCTGTTTTTCCCAATATATGAACTTTCCCCATGAAATAGATAACAATTTGATACAGCGTTAGTACTAGCTAGAATATTCCTTAAAACAGGATTAGGTGAAGCAGTAGCTCCACCTGTTGTTGGGTTACAGAAATAACCACGCTGTGTACTCACAGACTCAAGTGTTGTTAACTCTAAACTTTGAAGCAAGGTGCCAACTTTCAGCTGGCCCTTGTAACTGTGCCTTTAATAGCAGTATGATATTCCAGTGTGAATAGGTGCTAATGTTTATGTCCATTTTTTGGAAAGCTTCCCCGCTGACTTCTACACATCAAGCTGCTAAGAAAGGCAGAAAACAAGCCACATTGACTTTTTTCCAAGTCATTGTTGTTAGCTGTACTCTGAAGTCATGGAGACTGTACAGCCATGTGTTAATGGCCTTGGTTGAGACATAAATGGTTGCCAGAGAGTGTTAATGGCTGTTATGTGGGTGCTGTGCTGCAGACAAGAACCTGTAGTTGAGTGCCAACATAAGGTTTGTTTAATGAGAGAATGTATCCTGCTATGCATCTTTGTGCTATAAAAAGTGACAGACGGTCAAGCCATAGTGTCTTGCAAAGTATTTGCTTGCAACCCTACACTAATATTGATTCAGGCATGCTTTCAATGCACATACAGTTTGTAATGATCAGGTACACTGACTATTTTCAGTTGCCTGTATATTTAAGAATACATAGGATTATATGGCTGCCTGATTAATTTAAAGATAGTGGCCACACCTGTACAAGTGAAATCAGAGCAACACATTTAATTTTGAATTATTAAAAATAGAAGTGTTCCAATCCTTTCTATGTGGTATAAGCTTTCTCCAGTGGTTTAAATTCACTTGTCCATCTTTTCCATGTTGCTTTCCATCATTTACAATCAATCTATCAGTTCTGCCAATAAAAATATGAAATTAATTTAATCAAATATAAAAGCTTTTGGGAGGCTTGGAATTTTAATCGTTTGAAATATTAGTGTAAATAATTGCAAATCATTTTCATCAGCAAGCTCTGCTTCTTGCTCATGGAAGTCGTTTGGTGGCTGAGAAAGTTTATATCTGCCAGTCTGTGATTCTGTCTGCAGCCAACCAAACTGGCATTTATCTGAACCAGACTTGCCCGGTCTTACTAGCTACCCACCAAGCTGGAACTTTTTTGAGCCATTCATGAAAATTGCTTTCTACCAGTTGAGAGGCACTGAGGGCTAAAAAGTGGGAGGAGTACCCCCTTCAGTGCTTGCTGTCCTTCAAGCTTGTTTGCCATGAGATGGAAGCCACTGTGGGGGAGGGTTGGGGAACCTGTGTCCCCCTAGGGACTCACATTAGCCCTGATTATTTGTTCTACGGGCTGAAGCTCATGGGAGGTGGAGTCCATCAGTGTTTGGAGGGCCACAGCTGCTTCTCTTCTGTGCTCTGGGCTCAAATAGCAGCTTTGGCTGGGTATGGATTTACAAAAATGAGTGCTGTTTTTAAAAAAAATAGAGTCCTTGTCCTAACCCTCAGGTATGTCCAACTGGAGATTTCAGGGACTAACGTTGAGATGAGCGTGAAGCTGTTTCCCTGCTTTAAAAGTGCATTGCTACTTTGACCAGAATGATTGGCTTTCAGTCAAGAGAAAAGCTGTTCCCACTTGACTTCGTCTTACATTTTAAGCTCTTGCTTTTCCTATCCAATTTCTTTTAAGTGCCAGAAAAAACAATTAGAATAAAACCAATTCCAAGAATTGCAGTTCTAGGGTTGCATGTCTGCACTTAGAAAATAAAGAGGTCAGTTTTTTCCAGACTTTCTACTAGGGAGACCACAAATAAAATTTGTTCTTTTTTATCATCTTTGTTATCTCAATTAACCTCTACCTCTCCAGTCTTTGTACCATATGGAATGGCAGATCTGTTACCCACTTCCCTATAGCAAGTTGGCAACTTACTCCAAATTCTCCTGCAAGCCCCTGCTAGCTCCTGATTCACCTTTTTGGAATCAAATGACAGATGTGTATTACAGAAATAAATGACACAAAAATCTTTTTGTGTTGGGTCCTTCTCATCTAAATGGTAGCAGTTAACAGGGCTAAAAAAAGATGATGAAGAAGTAAGAAGGGTGGGAGGAAAAATGAATCTAAGAAGGATTTAATTGACAATTAAAATTCAGGGTTCCAGCTCTTCAAGGTGGGCTGGCTAGCAACACAAACTGCATTTTAATCTGAGCTTATATCTTGACAGTTTCCCTGTTTTTAATGAAATATAGTTTCCCAAGGCTATTTTATTTCTGAAGGATAATTATCTGTCTCAAGACGTGTGTGAAAAGCAAGTGCTCTGACTGAAAAAAAACCCCTTGATCTCCACAGCTGTTATCTGATGCCTCTGAACCCCTTGAGAGCCAGAATTACTCACCTGTAGTTAGAGATGTAAGTCTTGAAAACCAATTGCCTCCCTTTTCTTAACTCCAGCATGCCAAGGTCAGTGGCCAGGAGAGTAATTGACATGTTTCATATACTTTTTATAGGCAGTGATTACATCCAATGGTTCATTGACTCCTAAGTATAAATATATCCAGAAACTAAGAGAGAGCAGGTAATGCATGGATTTCTTTCTTTTCCTCCGAAGTTTTATTTGACTGAAGTTTGTAATTATTGTGTCTGAGTGTATGTACTTTATCTCTGCACAGATTTTATTGTGGGTAGCATTTTGCGATCTCGCTTTATCAAGGGGAAGTTTGACACTGACACAACGAGTGCGCCATCTCATTGTGACCATGCATGGGCAAGGGGAGCAAATATGAGATCTTCTTTTCAGGGCTTTTACAGGCCACTGTAATGAATCCAGATTTAGTCATTGACTTTCCTCTTTGCATAGTCTGGAAGAACGCCTGAGTGTTCTCAGGACTGGATTACTGTGATGCATTGTACGCAGGGATGCTGTTGAAGATGATCTGGAAGCTTCAATTAGTGCATAGTGCAGTTGCCATGATTCTAACTTGGACAAGCAGCTTGAATCACCTTATACTGATTCTGAAGGTGGTGTATCAGCTGCTGATTCAGAGAATTTGAGGTAACAGTTTGTACCTTTAAAAAAAGCACCCTAAATACCTATGAACTGAAACATCTAAAGAAACACCTGTCTATAGACCAGTGCCTTCAGACTGTCACTGAAATTCTTTTCCTTGCAAACTTCCCAGGGGAAGCCTGAAGGGAGAAAATCCAGCTCCCATTGTGGAATATATGCAAATATATTTGCATTTTTCATATGCAAAACCCCTGCTGCCCTGCCAGCAAAAAATACTGTGCTTGCAAGAAAACAAGAGATGCAGGAAACACATACCTTGTTTGCAAATAGAATCATGCTCCTGGAAGCCTCAAATTCAGTAGAAATGGCAGGGGTGGGGTGGGACGGGACTCCTGCAGGGCAATGCAGCCACTGGAAGTGGTTCTTCCCTGCTAGAGAGGTACGACTGGTGTTGACATTTTTACCTTTTTTTTTTTTTTTTTTTGCACTGGTCCAACAGGTTTGTATTTGACAAGGCATTTCAAAGCTGTTTATTTTGTATGCTCTGCTTTGTGTTTATGCCTCTGGTTGTTTTATGAAGATGTTGTTGCATTACCTTTTTTAATTTAATTTATATTTTGGCACAACCAACTTTTATTCATGCTGTTGTACTGCCCTGATATCCATGAAGGCAATACAAAAACATTCGAAATAAATATCTAGTTGCAAGGTTTTTTTTGAGAAGAGGGGATCATCTTATGGAAGTTTTCTGAATAAAAGTTCTGAGAATAATGGGAACTGTTGTAGGACCTGTCCGGAGCACACCGTGTTTGCACAGATTGGGTCTATAGATTGCATTATTGTATTATTAATCTCCTTTTTTGGGCGGGAGGGGGGTGGCTAAAATGGTATGACAGTGTTAAGATCCTGAAATAATAACAAGCATTTTTTTTTTTTAGTGTATGGTTTCCATGGTTTTTTCATGTATCAGAATAAAAACCAACATTCTGAAGAGTTTCTGATGTCACTGTGCTCTGAAATCATGGAATTTTAGAGGGAATCTGAGTGGGATTTCCAAGGTGTAGGACTCAGCATAGCTTTTTGTTTTTCATGTCTGGAAAAATCAGAATAAATTATGCAAAGTAAGCAAATGTGCACAGATTTTCCTAACTAGTCATTCATGCAGGTCGTGGAATGGAACCTTTCTACGACCCAGTTTGCATGTCACAGCAGCAAATTGTGAGGTGATGGTGATTACTGTTAATTTCATTTCTAGATTAACCTGATATCTAAATCTCTCTGGGCAGTTTACAATTCATAAAAATAAGTACAATAAGCAGCTGTTTAACTGACATTTTTGTAGATTCATTTTGTCTATGAGCCCTTATGGTTTTTTCACTGTGTTAACTGCTGGGCAGTTTAGCCCCTAAACAACTGATTGGTCCAGCTTCACATGTCAACCTCATAGACAACCTCAGATTGTGCTGTTCAGAAGTTGTTTACAGGAAGTGAGAGCTGCTTTTGTGTGGCTTGCTGAATGTGGCCATGACATGTAAGCACCTGCTGTTTAACCATTTTAGAAGAGTACATACCTTTTCCAGTTATAAAAAATATGCTGGCCTCTCCTTTCCATCAGTACAGTGTACTCAAAATGGCTAAAAAGTAGTAATTAAAGGTAAATACTATAATTGCCACTACCATACAAATAAAGCATCCATCAGCAGGTGAAGCAAGCACCTGGACTTCATCCAAGTTGAAGTGGTTTTCTAGTTAATTTTCTTTGTGGGCTTCTTGAAACTGTTGGACATTTTCAGTGGATTGCTTAATACCCTTTAAAAAAATTTACTGGAGCCCATTCACAAACCAAGTTGTCATATTCTGTCATAGAAGTATTAATCACAGGAAAGCACACAACATCACTGTAGTTATAGACCAGACTAGAACACTAGGAGTAAGTTTTATTGGTTTCATTGTAACATGCAAATACAGACTGGTTTCCAGAGATGTTGTGAGTTACAAATACAATGCACTGCACCATTGAGTTGGTCTTTTTTGCCTTCGAAGTAATGTTGGAACAGATTTGGGTAATGTTAGGACAAGTCCATAGGAGAGAAAGATTCAACATAGGATTGAGGCTGCTGACTGGGTTTGTACAACGTGACAAGTGACCCTGTGTGGTTACCATGGTTCATGGTTTTTGTTGTGTCATTTTTTTAATCATGATCTACCTGACAAATCATCAAATGGTTTCTAAATTATTTTGGCTTCCATCCTCCCTCGGTCTTTCCACTCTTGACATGTATACCATTAGCCACCATGCCTGAAATTCAGTCCCAGGGTGCATCACTCCCCTGCCTGTGTTGTCTGCGTCTTCCTTATTGATCTGCACGTAGAGACTGGATCGCTGGAGTGGCTTCTGCAGTTGCTGCCTTTTCCAGGGGACTCTGTGGTAGTTGCCTACCAGGACCATGGAAACCACAATCCTGGGTTCAGCAAGACAACAAACCATGTTGCTGCAAAGACACTGTAGAATAGCCTGTTGTTTCTTACTGTTGGTGTGTGAAGACCAATCTTACCATGGTGAAATAATAAAACCAGGTTCACACAGCACAACAGACCAGCAATGGCCCAAAAGCCCCATGGGTTGTGTTTTCTGCACCCTGCCATTGTATTAATCTAAATAGAGTTCTTTGCTTTTAATGCTGACTGTTAGAAGCCTATTTTAATTTCTGTTTATTTAATTCTATCTCTTCTAGAGAATACGCCCAGTCACTGACCATGGATAAGAAGAAAAAGGTCTTGATACTTGGTGCTGGATATGTCTCTGGGCCTGTGATAGAATACCTCATGAGAGATCCCAATGTTGAAATAACAGCAGGTTAGTCAGTAGACTATAATGCTGACATTGCAAAGTGGTTGAAGCTACAAAAGAAAGTCTTTGTATACTGTATACAAAGTATAGTATTTGCTGTATAGCAAGCACATCAGTGTTTCTTAGGCTAGTGGAGGCTGCAGTATAGTAGTTCTCATCATAGATGGAGCTTTCCCCTCATGCAGGGGGGAATCCCACAAGGCCATCTCTCCTGAGAATAAAAACTCACGGGGCACTTGCACTGTATCCCATCCATCACTTTTCTTAGTCTTGTCTTCAAAAGCTGGTAAAAGCAGATGGCAAGCATGTTTCTCCCAACAGAACTGGACATGATCTGCTTCACTTTCTCTGTACCTCAGTGTATAGTTTTTTGAGATAACTTTCCTCAAAGGTAACTCCACAGTATAATAACTTTTTGGAATCAGGTAATAATGCGCAGTATGAAATGATTGCCTGCTTATCCATATGCATTGAAGGCATTATGTTCCTTTCTATTAGTTTCCCCAGTTCCTGGATTAGCATCTTTGGAGAAATATCAATAGTGAAAAATACTAGGTTTGAAGGGGATCTCAGGGCAGTTTTGTTTTTTGCCTTTCTGATTTCTGAGCATTTCAGGCATTGTTCTACTGTGGTCTTGACCATTAGGGGTGCTAGAAAATGTGGACTTTTGGTCTGGTTTAAAGAAAGGCTCGGGTCTTTATGACACAAGCTAACAATCTGCCCCAAAGTGTCTCTTGCGAGTGTACAAGGCCTACTGGCTATTCCATCACCCACTTCTCCTTTTGATGGACAGACTAGGAATAATTGGGCTGAATGGCTTAGCATTTCTAAGACCTAGCCATCCTTTCAATCTTTCATTTGTTGATCTTCTTGATTTCTTTCCCCCCCCCTAACAGTTTCTTCGTTGGGCCTTAATCCTAGAACAGGTACTGCTTTGCCTGCATGGATTAGCTTAGTTTTAGTTGGGGCTTGTATAGCTTTGGAATACACTCAACACTCTGCTCTTCCTTGCATTCTTGTCACTTGCATTATGCATCCAGAACATGATTTCACAGAGTTCACTTTTGGGTTGTTACATTCATCCAAAAAAACCATTTCCAAGATTATACATGAGGAGGAGATTACAAATTTTCTGTGGTATTACCTGTTGCTGTTTCCGTTAGGAACTTCTCTATCAGTCTTGACTTTTCCTCCTCTAATAGAATGGCCACATTTGGATGTCATGCTAAACCATGGTTTTTAATGATAGACATGATCCCACCACCTCCTTGGGTTTGCAAGCTCTGCTATGTTCATGAGGAGAAGCTCAAAGGCTGTCCCTTCTGCTTTTGATTAACTAAAGTTTAGGGGCTGGATGTGATGCTAATCCAAAGGTGGAGAACCAAAAATGATGATGGGAATAGATGACCACCTCAGTCCTTTGTGGCCCTATTATGTCATGTGGGTGTGGCTGCATCCCTGGCATCAGTGGGCATGGCCACTCCTTTTGCAAGCAGGGATCATTACCATGCCAGCCTGTCATAAATTGCCTCCAGTAGATATTCCACCTGGTGCTTGATCCATGGACCAGACTTCCCTGCATGCAGGCTTTCCTATTAGGGAAGTCTCGAGCCAGGATGGCTGTGGCCCTTTCACATCTCCAGTGAAGAAGTGAGCAGATGCAGCCCTCTCAGCCCCAGCTTTGCTCACTCCACCCCCTCCCTCCAGAGAAAACTAGCTTGAAGACGATTTAGTTTACATGGCAAGAACTCAAGCAGAAAGTTTCTGCCTGCCATTTCACTCAGTATTCTTGCTGTGTGGCAGCATCTGTTATGAAGAAACAACTTGAGCAGCTGACAAAGAAATGCAGCAATGTTGTTCCTGTCGTTTTGGATGTCACTGAAGATGAGGAGAGACTATCGTCCATGGTGAAGAAGCACAATCTTGTTATTAGGTCAGTGTTCTGATGATCATACACACTTTAGCAACTCCAGTGGGTGGCAGTGGGCATCCCTTGATCCCAGTTCAGTATACATACAAATGCATTAATGAGTTCAACAATTTTTTAAACATCAAAACACTAAAATTGAGAGATGGTAAATGAAATTAATCACCCAGCCAAATACTGTACTGTCAACTGAAAATGTCTGGCAAAAGAAATTATTTTTTTGCAGTGGTGCCAAAAACAATACAGTATGGAGGAGGGTTTTCCAATGCATAGTTAGGCAGCCTGGTGCTGCTTTGGAAAATATCTCCCATCAGCCAAAAGGGCCAATGGCCTGGGATTTTGGGAATTGTAGTCCACAACATCTGGAAGCAGGTACCAGGTGCCTAACCCTAGTTTATATGATTTCTTTATGGAAAATCTTTTCCTTCTTAGATTACATTTAAGGCTTATACCTCAAAAGTGCATGCAACATGCATGTTCTCCGTTCCATGTATGACAGGGGCATGCCAAACTCTGAGTGGTTTGTGCTTATGTACATGTATCAGAAGGAGCTTGTCACTAAATGTTCCTACAGTGATAGCTATTTTCTGTTGATACGATCTTGCTATGGGAATGTGCACATATTTTCTGTGGTAGATGTTGCCTTTGATACAAAGGTCAGGAATTATTTCCTGCTAACAGTGTCTTCCATGCTATACAAAACACAAGTGTGATACCATCTGCCCAAAAAGTGCTGGTGTGGCTGTTGTTGACTTGCTGATTTTTCTTATTGCATTTGTTATCTTGTCTTTCCTTCAAGGAGCTCAGTATGGTGTATAATGGTGTCTCTTTCTCCCTCACCTGTCCCAAATTTTCTCCTTAAAGCAACTATATGCAAGTGATTAAAATCACTCAAGCTCATCTGGTCATTTTGGTGAAGTTGAGCTCAGCTTTTCCGGCTCTAAACGCCACATGCTTTCCATTGCATCACAGTTGCTTTCATTCTGTAGGAGATGGTTAAAGTGGAATTGGAAGAGAGGTCAGGATCCAATATAATAAAGGAGGATCATAGGGCAATGAATATATGGAGCTACCTAACATTGAGTTAAATCATTGGTTCATCTACAGCGGAGATGTGGCCCTCCAGCCTTCGTGAGACAGATAGCTACTCTTCCTTGACCACTAATTTTTAAAGCTTTGCTAGTTCCCCCTTCCTTCACCTCACTCTAAAAGGCTAAAATGCTTCTCCTAAAGTTTAGTTAACTGTAGCCACTGTAAGCTTACTAAATGATAGTACTTGGGGGCAGCATTTCTACTGCCTTCAGCCCCACCCATCTACTGAACCCTCCCCCCCACAAAAAAAAAAAAAAATCTCAGAAGTGGAACTCAGCCGTTGGGCTGAAAGAAGTTCAACACCCCTGAGTGACAGTCCACTCTGGCCCTTGGTGATTCTCCATAGTTCCTTCTGGATGCCATGTATTGAACCTGGGTTCCATGCAAAGAGTGTGTACTATGCTATGCCCCCTCCTCTGCCTTTAAAAAGATTTCCCTCTTTACCAAAACTTTTGAGGAGGTACTTGGAAGGGGACAGCCTGAGCAGAGCAGCAGGGACTGTGTATGTATAGAAAGAAGCAGATCCAAGGGCACGTTAAGCCAAGCCTTCCGAAAGCATAGATTTTTTTTGACCAAAGGTTGGGAGGGGAGCTGGCTCTCAAAAATGTCATCATTAAACCTTGTTTCTGAGCACTACATACAGAAGTGAACGTCCCTAAGACAACAAGAAGACATGGGGTTCCCATTAACATGCTCTTAAAAACCAGGGCTGAATCTTCCGCATTTATTTTCTTTGTACGTGTACTGCCGATGTTGTTTTGAGAAATATGGCTGCGCAGGCTTGTCCCCCTTGCCTCTAACTTTTCCTAATTGGCCACCTCAACTCTGGGAAGGGCTGGTTAAACAAGGCCGTTTCCCCCCTAGTGTGCCTTCTGATTTTTCTCTTCAGCTTGCTGCCTTATTCATTCCATCCTTTGGTTGCTAAGAAATGCATTGAGAGGAAAGTGAATTTGGTGACTGCCAGTTACCTGACACCTGCTATGAAAGAGCTGCAAGAGAGGTAGGTCCGTCTGAACATGCTCCCATGGTCCTGCTTCAGCAGACCTCCCATATTCTCCTGTGCGTGTCTCTTGATTTGGAGTTGGGGTATAGGATCACCATGCTAAGTTGCGCTATCCCTTACCCGTGGCTCATGCAACTCTTCCACTTCCAGCGACCACTAAGCTGAGCTTCGTGGCTATCCCAGACCAGAGGGTCAGAACATCTGGGGCAGCCTTCCCTGCCTGGTTTCTTCCAGATGTGTTGGACAACAACTCCCAGTCACCCCCACGAAGCATAGCCTTGCTGTCAGTGGATGAGGGGAATTGTTGTCCAACAGTTGGAGGAGCCAGTTGAGAGAACTGCTGATCGAAGCTATCTTGCTGCAGAGGAGAAACGTGAATGAGAAGTGTGTGCTCTTTAAAATTTGTTCAGGTGTGCAGAGCAGACCCACTTAATCCTAGACCTCTACAGCACTGTGTAAAGGGACCCAGAAGTGCAGCAGCTGCTCTGGCCCTCCGCTCAGGCTCATGTGGAACTGGGGAGCTTAATCAGTGATGTGCCGGGCTGTAGAGATGCCTTGTTATGGCCTTTCATGGTGAACTGATGCACTCCTTTTTATTGCAGCATAGAGGCAGCTGGCATTACAGTTATCAGTGAAATAGGTTTGGATCCTGGCCTTGATCACATGCTGGCAATGGAATGCATTGATAAAGCAAAAGAAGTGGGTGCCTCGGTAAGCTCAATAGAAAATAAATTGGAGAGGTGGTTCTCCCTTTGCTCCACTCAGTATAGTTTTATTTTAGTAACTATTTTATTGTGGAATGTCAGCTGTGGCCTGCTGTGGTTAGAAAATTCGCTCCCCCACAAAAACAAAAACCCCTTTTTGTCTTTTTTGCACATTTGAATGAGTGCTTCTGAACTAATACGATTTTTATTTTCTTCAAGTGCAGGTGGTATCCTATACTTCCTTCTGTGGTGGACTGCCTGCTCCAGAATATTCTGACAATCCCCTGAGATATAAATTCAGCTGGAGTCCACAGGGGGTCCTGCTGAATACGGTTCAGCCTGCCATGTATTTAAAAAATGGAGAGGTGAAGTGATATGTTTCTTTCTGCAAGAAAGCTAATATGGGGTATCAGTTATATATTTAGGAGTTCATAGAAATTTAGGTCATTGTTTCTTCCCTTTCTTGAAGTAAACCGGGGACAATTGTTGGTTGAACAATTATTCCATTAATTACAGCTTGTGGTGACAAAATTAAACCAGTCCAAAATTGAGCGCTCCCTATCGTAGCCACTTCCAGAGCAAATGTTCACACTGTAGCACAGAGTGAAGACATATGTTATCATTGGCCATGCATTATCTAAAATGACAAAGATTTGCAGGAACCAGAGGTAAAGGCTTACAGGGAAGAGTTCAGGTATTTCCAATTGCTCTTCTTCACTGCAGTTCCGAGTACAAAACCTTCTGCAGTTTAATCAGTCAAGATCAGTTGCGGTGGCTTATAAGCATTTCACTGTAGTATATAAATATTCTGGTTTTACCCAGTTCTGTTGGAGTTCAGCATGTGAGGAAGCACCAGTAATGACTCTAAATCATATTCTTGGATACTTGCTCACTCTCGCTCCCTCGTTCGCTCTCTCGTTCGCTCTCTCGTTCTCTCTCTCTCTCTCTCTCTCTCTCTGTGTGTGCGCACGCCATTTTTTCTTCTCTGCTTTCCTAAATGGCACATTTGCTACATGTTTTTGTACTTGTAATCTTAACTGGAGAAATCTAAAATGTGACTGAAACAAGAGCTTTTACTGTCATATTTCCATCTGACTTTTGCTTCATTAAAAGTTTAGAATTCAAGTACAGCACTAGTTAGCTGTGCTAAATGTTATGCCACAGAAGTGAGATTTCTTGAGCCTTAAACTAAATAAATGGCTTCCTTTTAAGGGGAGGTAGGGTATGAATTTGCAGGTAGTATACTGAGAAGTCTGACGGGAGGCCAGAGCAGTCGGGGACAAGTTTGGTGGTTGGCACTCAGCTTTGTCTGCCTGTAGCAGCATAATCATAGATGCTGTATCTATGCTGCACAGAGAAAGCCAGTGTGGTTTAGTGGTTAGAGAGCTGGACTGGGGATCTGGGAGCTCCAGGTTCTGGTCTCTGCTCATCCATGCAGCAATTTTGGGTGACTGGGCCAGTCACAGACTCTCAGCCCAACCTATCTCACAGGGTGGTTGTTGTGTGGGGAAAATTGAGAAGAGGAGGAGGATTATGTAAACCACCTTTCTTGAAAGGAGAAATGGTGGGATGTAAATAAAATAAATAAATATGGAAGGAAGTGAGGCTGCCTTGTGTATTGTGGGAGACAGAATTTTCTAGAGAGAAACTTACTATGTTGGGAGAGCTGTGTTCCAAGATGTGGTGCACTTACATGATTATTGTTTTTCACAATCCTTAGATTATTAATATTCCAGCCGGAGGAGCTTTACTTGATTCTGTTACTGTCATGGATTTTTTCCCAGGATTAAATTTGGAAGGTTTTCCAAACAGGGACAGTACAAAATATGCTGAGCCATATGGCATCCAATCAGCTCACACTCTCCTAAGAGGAACCTTACGATACAAGGTAAGGCGCACTTGGGCTTACAGAGGGCATGACTGGTCAGATGTGCAGGTGAAGTGATGTTCTCGTACATGAAGGAAAACGCCACCCATGCTCCCTTTCTTCTTTGGGGCAGGTTTTCTGTAATGGCTGCTCTATGATACGCAAAGCTTAACATCATGCTTCTGCTTTCCAATAAGTATGTGGGAACAGCGGCTTTTCTTTGGGCTTCATGCCATTTTTTAACTTTTTCCCCACACCTGTCTTGTGACAGATTGTAGTTCATCGATAAAGCCCAGGTTTGGCATGCCCAAGAGCTTTGAGCAGGCTTCAGCCTCTATTTATTCATTGAATTTGTATGCTGTCCCATAGTCCAAGTAGAAAGGGGCTCTGCTAGCAGAGCTGGGAGGAAATTCTGACCAAGACCTGGAAGAGCTGCTACTTGTAAGTGTAAGCAGTACTGGGCTAGTTGGATCAAACGAGTATGACAGCCCAAATGTTAAAGCAGATACATGTTTAAAGTGTATAAACCACTATCTATCCACAAGGGATTCCAATAAATGATGAAAGTACAAATCCAGCATTAAAATCCATACATTTACAAATAGAGAGAGAGAGAGAGAGAGAGAGAGAGAGAGAGAGAGAGAGAGAGGAGGAGGAGGAGGAGGAGGAGGAGCAGCAGCAGCAGCAGCAGCAGCAGCAGCAAAAGAAGCAGAAGCAAGAATTCTCCAAGTGGCAAATAAAAATACAGCAGTCAATCAAGTTTTTAAAAGTGAATTATCATTTTTTAAAATGTACATGTTACAATTCTAAAAAGATAACCCCAGATTGTCTGGGCCAAACTGAAATTTTTAATTTAGCACCAAAAGCACAACAATGACATTCTGCAACACTGTTGCATTTTTATGCAGGAATGCAAAAGACCAGCTTCAGACTTGTTAAGCAATGTTATGCCTGCTGTGGGAAACCAGCAATATAGGAAGGAAAGCTTGAGGGCCCGGACAGGGGAGAAGTTTTGCTGCTAGAGTTCCCTCATTACTTAAGAGTTGCTTTCTTGCTTGACCGGGGGAGGTATGTGTGTGCACGCATGAGGAACAGCACTAAGGATTCATTTTTGACTTCTGTGATGCTTTCTAACACCTTACTTCTGTTCTTCCAGGGTTATTCCAGAGCCATAAGAGGCTTTGTAAAATTGGGCCTCATCAATCCCGAACCATGCCCTATGCTTAGTGCAACAGCACCTTCAATAAAGTGGGTAAGTACTGGTGCCCCAGTCCTAGAGAAGGGTCTCAGTGCTGCAGCTAAATCCTTGCTATTTGGCCACCGACACCTGTACCTGCTGGGGAACCCAATGTGGAAATGGCAGTGAGCAATCCATGCTGAAGAGACTCTTGCTATTTGATGAATATCCCGCCTTTCCACCAAAAAAGGATGTGCCAAAGGCCTGCCTGAATAAGAATCATATTTGTCTGAGGGTAGAAGGTCAACAAAGGCAGGCAGAGAGTTCCACAGGCTGAGCATGGCCTTCTGAAAAGGCCTTCTCTAGACTTTGTGGATGAGGTCTTTCTTACTGAGCCTTACTGAACAAAACAAACAGGTGCTTGTTTTGTCTCCTTGACCTCCTTGTGGGTGGTTCCTCCTTTGAGACTGCCACCGTAAATGTGTGTTTTTCTTCTGCTTTTGCACAAATAGCCTTCCCTCTCTTGAAAAGTCAAGGAGAGGTAAAGCTCTACTTGGTTATGAAATACAATCTGACTGAGGAACAAAGGATAAATGGAACACTAGGAAAGGCAAAAGAAGGAACTGAAGCCACCCAATTGACCTAAATTAAGAAATGCCTCTGATGTTGCATTTGTTTTTAGGGGACATCAGGGCAGGTAAGTTGCGAACTAAACCATAATTAACACTGTACAGACCTGAGCAAAACTGATGCTAGATATAAACCTGGAGTGCCCCATTCTCTTATCTCAACCCCAGCCCACTCCTTCATAAAATGTGCTCTGGTAGCTGTTTCCTGCCGGAGCAGTCCTGAAGAAATCCATTACAGTTTGCCAACAGCTCCAATTCTAGTTACTGTTTTTCTGTACAGTTTTTTTCTCTTGTATTTTTTCCAAATGTTTCTCTCAGATGGTAATGTGATGTTTTGTAAACTTTTTCTTCCTAGAAAGAGCTTATGTGCAAGTTAGTTGGACTTCAGCCATCTGCCAAACCTGACGATCTCCAAGATGCTGTCTACAATAAGTTAGGCAAGGATAAAAGGCAGCTGGAGGCAGTGGAATGGTAAGAGATTCAGGGTGGATCTCCCTTTCTCATCCAGATAAGCCCCTTTTTAAGCTCCTCTCTGGCATCCAGTTTTATTATGCAGATCTGGACTGCTTAAATTTACTAAACAGGTGTTCTTCAATCCATGTTTCTTCAAAACATGGATCAGCATGTAATATTTGGCACAAAACCCAAATGTTCAGCGTACAGGTCAATAGCCACATGTTGATGTTAAATTAATGTTTATTCATATATTTACTTTTGGCTGAAAGCTTTTAAATCCAACTAACAACGTTATAACATTACAGAGCATGCACCTTGATAAACAACAGTAATATCAGCAATCAATGACAGATGTTTGTTCATGTCCCAGTGTTTTTGTATCTGTTATGTTAAAAGAATGTAACTAATGTAATTAATGTAATAATTACAGAGAGTGCACAAAACAAATATATTATTACAGAGAATAACAGGGAAGAATCACCTTAACCATCCTTTGGAAAAGAGGATGTTAAATAGATCTCCTGGCAGAATGTTTTTTTGCAGGTGTTACCCCTGAGAAGGTAGCGCCCTTCCTCTTCATCACAAATAATGGCAGGATTCAGAGAAAAACCACCGTGAAAGATAAACAAGGGTGGTTTGCATCATGGGGAAACAAGCTGTCATTCAGGCTGCTTATGGGTTCAAGGGGGAAACTGAGCTGGAAGACAGTGCAGCTTTTAAAATACCACAATTAATTAATTAATTAATTAATTAATTAATTAATTAATTTAGAGAACTTCTATGCCGCCCCATTCGCCGAAGCCTCGGGGCGGCTCACAATCATAAATAAATAACATAATATAAAACAATATAATTTAACAGTATAATTAAGCCGCCCTGGCCAAAGAATAAAATAAATAAATAATATTAACAATTAAAATAACATTTGAATAAAAAGGTCTTCACCAGGCACCGAAAAACAAATAACAACGGCGCCAGGCGGACCTCTCTGGGGAGCGCATTGCATAGATTGGGCGCCACCGCAGAGAAAGCCCTCGTCCAGGTACTCAGCCTCCTAATTTCCTTCACGGAGGGTTCCCGGAGAAGGGCCTCTCCCGCCGATCTCAAGGGGCAGGCGGGCATATATGGACTTAAGCGCTCCTTCAGGTAACCAGGACTGCTGAACAACTGCCCCCAAGCTCATCCTTGCAACAGCATCCTGCACCAGTGAGTCAGCCTGTACAGGGCGCATTGCGTTGGCCAAGCCTGTGCATGAATAAAGCATGTGTGACCATAGTTGATGCATCAGCTGAACCTGTGCAGAGTGCTCCTGGCCATGTCTATCACCTGGAGATCAAGCAGCACTGCAAAAGTACTCTCCGACTGCACACCAGATCCTTCAGGAAGTGTGCTTTTCCCATCAAGAAAAGGAAAACTCCAATTTTATTAGGATAATCCTCCTTTATTAATTAAATAGTGCTATTAGTATGCAGGGCATTTTTCTGAAAGGCCAAGGGGCAGGGCGCTCCTTTGAGGAACTCACACTATAACTTAATAATAAAACAAGAAGAGAGGAAGAGAAAAGAGAAGGATAAAAATGGAGCAGCGACACTGCTTTTCAACTCTACAGGGGGAAAATTGCTGCTGGAGCTGAATTTGTTTTCAGAGCCTGTTTTCTATGGAAGGATGATTGAGGATGGAGGATTTGGGACCAGCTTGGAGTCCTTGATTCTCCCTGCAGCCTGAAGTTCCAGAAAAATGTTAATGCTTGGTGTAAGATGGGTACTAGGGTTCTTTGATCTAGCACCTGCTTCAAAAATACCATCCAGAGCCTTTCCAATCAGCGTAAGTATGACTGGAGGGATGCTTTATATTTTTCCTCTTGTGAAGAATTGTTATTCTAGCCTAGAATCTACTCAGGGTGATCTGGACCCTACCTCTCTTGTTTCCAACCTGGAGCAGTGAGAATAATTGCATATCTTTCCTGTATGCTGTTTTATTGGTATGGTTACCCTGCTGTACTGTGTTCTAGTGGTATAACTCTGGTCTTCTCCATATCATATTTGGAGCAGGTCTTGCTTGGACTAAGTTGCTGGATCCAATTTAAATGCATAGTTAGGTCACAGATTGTGTGATTGTACTAAGAAGGAAAAGAGGGCGCAGAATGAATTTTCCCTTATCACTGTGGACCTGGCCATCATTGATGGGCAAAGGGGCTGTGGGAAAGCATGACTTTCCAACAGAACTGAGCCTTGTTATAAGTCTCACACTTTTAAGCAAAATCCCTGTTTTAAAGCTGTGTGTAGATGATGGAATAAGGGCTCAATTCCTTTGGAAATCCATTTTGGAATATCCATATATTTAAGACATGTATCTTTGTTGACCTCTTCCACACAGGATGTGAATATTCAGCCCTTTGAGACTCGTTGGACATACTTCTTTTCTTAATTTCTCACTTGCTCCTGTAGGGGGTGAGTGACAGAAAAATAAAACAACATTGGTTTGTAAAGTTTGGTTGTGTGTGGCAAACATTAGGGAGGTGAACAGCAAGACACAGCACAGCAATAACAATAGCTGATCACAACAGAACCAAGATCACTTAAGTGTAGTGCTTTGCCCTCTCCTCTCCACTTTTGCTTTGGCTTGCAGATTGACTAGCCCAAATTGCAATTTGGTGGCAGCCTGTTATTCAGCCTTTAAAATCACATGTTCTGAATTTTGTGGGGGGAAAGGTAGTTTTATTGTTCTGCTTAGTGCTGCCATTTTCTCTGTTTTTCAGGTTGGGGTTACTTGGAGAGGAGCCTGTTCCCATAGCAGATACTATAGTGGGTGCACTGGCCAAACACATGGAAGCCAAGTTATCTTACGGTATGTGAAATACTCTGAACTCTCAGAACGGGTGGGTCTATTTTTCTTATGGTCTCTGCTTGTTGTGGAAGATGAGGACAAAGCTAATTTGGTTCCATTGTCAGCATATTTTGGCAAAGACTGGTCTGAACCACTTTAGCCGATAAAGGTGGTAGTTACTAAAAAATATCAACTTGCCTTCCATTTTCTTAGCTAAGTTGCTTGTTTTCTCATCCCAACAACACTATTTATAGCTTATACCTCCACACTCATCTCCTGCTGAAGTATTTGCATGCCTATCTCTCTCCCATTGTGATTTCCTGCCTCTTTGCTCTGACCTTCCTTGTGTGTGTGTGTGTGTGTGTGATTCTAACATTTTTGTGTTGAGATTAGAATTGACTCTAAGGTGATGATCTGCCTCATCTCATGTTTGTGTGCTATTTGAGGCACCAGTTGGTATCTCAGTAATATGTTCTTTGGGATATGGGTATCAACCCTGAGAATATTTATTTGTACCTCAGTCTCACAGCCATTTAAAGGTTCTTATTTGACTCCTAACATGTTCTCCTGTTGATCAAGTGTTCTTTTGACTGGGGCTACCAGCTGACATTTTCTGTAGTTTTTGCTCTTTGGGATGGGGCCAACATATTTGCAGACAATTTAATTATAGCCTTTGGAAATGGGGAGTACAGAAGAGAGTTACCTGCACTTTATGAGTCTCCTTCCCTTCTTCAGGATTCTTACCAAAGAAGTAATCCATCCTGAAGCTCAGAGGAGTTAACAGTGGCAGGACTGATGAAATTGCAAGGAGCAGCAAGAGTTTTGGCTGCCCTTGCCTGCTGCTTTTCTAGACATTCACAACAGCCCCCCCCAAAAAAAAACCCCTCCTCCACTAAGCCACCTTGAGAACAAACACCTGAAGCAATTCTACAACAAGCCATAGTTTCTCAGGGTGATTTATTTGCCCCAAACTACCCATGGTAGGAAAAGCACTTCAGGCTTGGGCATCATGCTGTAACAGTCTTGTGACTGCAGTCACCATGAGGATAACCTGCCACAGCTTAGCATGAGATGCAGGCCCAGCCAGAGTCACAGAGGATAGTCAGCATCAGCCATTCCAGCAGTCTTCAGCAGAGTGCTTTTTTCGTTTTCTGTCCTTTCCATCTTCTAGTGTCTTTTTATAAGCTTCTTTATCCTGCTCCTCTGCCAAAAATAACTCCAGAAGTTGCTTACATGCAGTAAAAAAAATCCGTTGTTGTTGTTGTATGTAAGAAGCTCCTGGAGTTGTTTTTGATTAAGAAGCAGGATAAAAAAGCCTTCAAGGAACAAATGAAACAATTATTATAATCGATTCCTTCCAGTACTGGGCAGTATGCCCCTGAATGCCAGTTGCTGCTCTTCTGCTTATGGCCCACCTGTGGGCTCCCCTTAGGCACCTGGTCAGCCACTCTGAGCAGGATGCTGAAGCTGGACTAGGTACACCTTTGGTCTGATCCACCACAGCTCTTCTTATAGTCTTGCTGTAAGCTATAAAAATACAGATATCTGTCTTTTTATTAGGCACTGGAGAGAGAGACATGATCGTTATGAGGAATGAAATAGGAATCAAGCATCCATCTGGCCATTTGGAAGACAAGTATGTCAATCTTGTGGTCTATGGTGATGATAAAGGATATTCCGCAATGGCTAAAACTGTTGGGTATCCTACTGCGATTGCAGCAAAGATGGTTCTGGATGGTACGTATTATTTTTCTGACATTTTTACTAAAGCAGGAATGGGAAATGTGTGGCCAAATGCTGTTGGGTTGCAATGCCCATCAATCCCTGACCTTGGCCATGCTAGTTAGAGGTGATGGGAATTGCAGTCCAAAACTTCTGAAGGGCCACATGTTCCCCACCACTGCTTTAAAGAGTCTTTGGATATTAAGATACGGTTTCAGCTAGCGGGTATTGAAATACCTGCTGCAAAAGAGCAGCCCATTAATGTTACTCCTGTAAATGCGGCGTAAGGCCCAGACCAATCCAGGTGTCCACAGCCCTCTGAATGTGGAGGATTGTGGACATCCTATGCAGGACAGAAGGAAGTGCACAGGGGTGCAAGGGTTGCCTCCATCACGCTCCTCCCACCCCGAAAAACAATAAGGTGGCTGATTCTGGTTGTCTGAGCTCAGCACCTCACAGCAGGAGGGAAGGCGGCTGAGGCACCACCAGGGCACTTCCTACTGTGGTGGTGCTGGTCCCCTCCTCCCGTCTCCCAGGCCCCAGAACCCCTTGGGGCACCTCTGCAACCCTGGAGGAGCATTTGGTTGTGTTTCGTTCTGTGCTGGCCACAAGGGGCTGGGAGGGCACTCTGTGCAGGCCTACCTGCTGTGCATTCAGAAAAGCTTTCCAGGCTCATAGCCGGGTCTTTGAAAAATCCTCTGGGCATCCGGGTGCAATCTGGTGGTGGAAGGTGCTGTGGCTCACGTGTAAATGTAAGTTATGATGTTCCCAGTCATATTCCCAATAGTCAACTGCTCAACTTTATCCTCCGTTTTACCAATGCGTGCCTCAATGCATGTAAGAAGATATCACTGGGATTTCCAGACATATGGAAAGTTTTTTGATCTAACAGTGAGGAGAAAGTCACAGTAATAATACTGCACTTTATGTAAATATTATGTTAATTGCTATTTAGTCTACCTGTATAAAAGGTCGTTGAAGAGAATTATATTTATCTGTATATATTTCAGGGGAAATTACTACCAAAGGCATGGTCATCCCTTTGACAAAGGATATATACGGACCAATTCTTAAACGCATTCAAGCCGAAGGCATTGTGTACAGCACGCAAAGTGTTATCAAGCAATAGAGGAGTCGTCATCTTCTTTCTCCCAATCTCTAGTTTTGTACGCACAGTTCGAAGCTTGGAAATGATTGTCCAGAAACGCTCTCGGTTGGAAAACTTTCTCGTGCAAAGCCTATGAAAATGAATGGGAGCTCTGCAGCAGCATTACTGTCCTCTTTTCCAGCTTCATCTGTTGTGATGAGGCGTGCGCAAGAGAGCATCCGGGTGGATTACGCTCTGTACCTTTTAGAGGTCCGTAAACCTATTTCCTCTTTCGTAGAAGCATGCCTCATTGAATTCAGTAGGACTGACTGCAAGCATAAATTGCACTGTATATGTACTTCTCCCAGATGCAGGTGGACAACAGGTAGACAGTCCTAAGAAGATACTGCATTTGCTTCAGAGCTAGAGGACTTTTATGTAGAACACAGAGCTCTTCAATCCGTGCCAAAATATTTTCAGTTGTATCCTGAATTCTGCAGAACTGTGGAGTGTGGAACACTAAAGCCTTTATTTTTTTACTAGAACATTTGCCTTATATTGTGACAACAGCAGAGGAGATTGTAGTGTTTGTGAGCCTAAATTTGGATAATTTTCCTTTTCTGCTCTCTATGTATGCCGGTGTGCCTCAGTCTGGTGCCCTCCAGTTATGTCTGATCACAGTTCTATCATCCCAAGCTGTCACATTGGCTGCTGCTGGTGGGAATTGTCTCCTACATATCTGGATAGCACCAGTTTAAGGGAAAACTGCTGTACAATATAACCAAAAGGGAAATGTCTTTTTAATTTGCACTTTTGTCCCTAGAAAATCATGTCAACAACCTTTTGGTGTCTGTCAAGACTATAAAAGTATGATCTAGACCCTTCAATAATGTATTATACATAAAATCTAGGACATAGTATTATTTCTATTTTAATATTTTTTAATTTAATAAAACATTTGTATCCCGTCCTTCACAGCAGCGTCTCAGGAAGGCTTGAATTACACATTCTTACATTTTATGTAAGAATGTGTAATTCCACATTTGCCAAACTTTGTATTGTCTGAAGCTTCATACCAGTCAATATCCAGTAATCATTTGCAATGTCCAAACTGTTTACTTAGCATCAGGATGGTGGCCAATTAGCCACTAAGACTGCCAAATATCAGTTTCTTCTCTGTGTTGGCACATTCTCTCAGATTATTACAGTATGATTCAATCATCCTCCCTTGCCCTACAATTGGAAGGAGCAACATTGTTTTCGATGCAACTGTTGTATATACACCCTCTGAGCAAAGGTTTAAAGTTTTCTTGTTCTGTAACTGCCTTTTCAACACCTTTTGATTTCACCCCCTAACAATAATATGGGCATTTGAGCCTATAGCTATGTGGGATGTATGGGCTCCCCTGCTTTATGTTACATGCATGTTAACTGTAAATGGAAACATGCTGCATGTGGCCAGATACCCATAACTATTTCAAGAGGGAACAAGCCATTTTTCTCCAGATGGGAAAAGATAAAGTGGAAAACACTCTGTCTGCTTTGCTGTGCATTGATTTGCAGATAGTGGGTTGCAAGAACAGATGGGGAAAGAAGTATGTAGAGTATGTGCTTTCTGTGTGCATGCCTAAAGTGCTTAAGGATTTTATTACATTAAGCCGTGTATGAATAAATAATTGCAACAAGCACACATGACTAAAAGAAGCTGAACCTGAAGTAGAGACCTATGGTTTTCTACACCATATAATGTACCTAGTAATTTAAATGCAAAATGGTGACAAAAATGTCCCTTTCTGTCTCCCAATAATAAATTAGATTAAGGCTGAATTTTTCAGACTCTTCTCTCTACAAGACTCCCACATATTTCAGTGATGGCTTCAGGGTCAAAGATACTGGTGTAACACCACAATCTTATGCATGTTTACTCAGAAGTATGTCCCAGTGTGTTCAGTGGCCACCAGTTCAGTGTCTATAGGATTGCAGTGTTGCTATTCCTGACTTCGATTTTTTGATCCTCACTGGCATAGATATCTGCATTATTTGGCTTCTGAGGCTGGTTATTTCCCTGGTCAAAGATAATAATATTTATTTCCTTTTTTCCTTTTGCCTCTGGTAAAAAATAATTTTATTGTTAAATTGACTCTTTAGTGATCCATTCAAAACTTGAATGCAGTCCTATTCCCCCCCCCCCCTTTTCCTTCTGGAGATCAGGTTTTTTTAAATACAAAATGTACCAAGAAGATGAAACTGAAAGACTATTGTAAAAATCATGGAGTTCTCTCACTGAGAAGAAACATTATAAAGTAAAATACATTCATGTACAAAAAGAGCAAAACTTACATGAAATACCATGATCTTTCATCTTATCAGTATTGGGTAAGCATGCAGGGGCTGCTTGCTTAGGAACCTCATCTGTATCTCATGGTGAGAAGTGAAACTTATTCCTCAGAGGTCAAGGAACTTTCTTAAAAATTCTTGTTTTCACAACAAAGGCAAAGATACCCATTTAAATCTTTCTACCTGTATTCTTGTACAGTCGGTCTGCATGTAAGAAGATGCACTGAGTGGGAGGAAGTTAATACACAAGATTCAGCTTTCTGAATGGCACTTCAACCTCTTTGTGTAGGAACTTGGTTTGCTTTGCTGCTGGCATACTTAGATTCTGCGCCTGAACACAGTCCTTGGACATTTTAAATGGGCTAAAGGCTAGCTGTAGGGAGAAGCACTTTTTCCAGTCTGTCTTGTACAAACAAAGGAAGTAAAACAAAAAAACCTTGAAGGGCTGGCAGTACTGTGTGAAGTTGGCCGAGGGAGAAAATGGTGGTCCTCTCATCAGGCCTGTTGTTTTCTCATGCCTTGCCTTCTAGCTCCCATGTTTCCCCCCTAAAAGAATACTGTACCAGAGTGTGAGGCAAAGCTTTCTATTTCTTAGTAATCAGGTAGCTCTCAGTTTCTTCATGGAAGGTTTCCCTTTTTTACCCTTTTTGAATACTTCAATTTTATAATAGCAATGAGTGTCAATTGAAATGATATCACTGGATCCAGCATCTCTGAAAAACTTTCGTAGCAGACAATTTTCTATTTCTGTATGCTGATTTGAATCATTTTCTGAGCGAGGGCAAAAGGGTGTTTGGTGTATTGTGCTGAATTTCAAGAGATCAGTCCTCATGGTAGGATGCTAAATAAAAGCTTTTGACTTTAAGCAGTGCTAGTCTCCATTTCTTGATCAAACTCTGTGTGGAGAAGGGATGGTGGGGTGAAAGCCATTGTTCACATATTTGAGAAGTCAGCCAGGGTAGTTTTGTTCATTGATGCAGTCTCATCAAGGTTTTCTTCCTTGATGCAATGGAAAGCCAGCCACAGAATTTTCTAGAACTATTAAATGCATGTGGTCTCCAACCTCTCTCAGCTCTACAGTTTTGCCCACAATCCCTCAATTTCAGGACTGGGAGTGAACTTCCTTGGTCAGTAGTGTGGCCATGTGTCCTTCTTGACAGAAGGCTGAGCAAGGAAGGGCTTTCCAATAGGAGTTCGGGCTAAAGATTATTATTAGGAGGAGGAGGGAGGGATTGCCCAGGAGCCTTGAATTTACACAGCCAACACATGTGGCAGGCAGAGCAGGTCCATATACAACCACCATGGTGAAATGTATTGTCTAGAGAAAATAATCCCATGGTACAAACGCAAGTGTCCTTAGGGTCCATCAGGTAGCTCAGAAAACAGCTTCCCAGGTGGGAGACCAGGCTCCAACTAAGGAGGGTGAGATGGATATCAGTCCCCTTGCAGCATGCAGAAAGCTGTACCACTGTTTCTGAAGTCAGAAGATTGATGTCAAGAGGGGTGTTCCAGTTGGTGGTAATGGAAGGAGACCAAAAAGGCCTGGTTATTAGTTATTCTGAGCTTTCTTTCCCTCTCTAAAGCACCATTGCCAAATGGGCTAAAAAACCCATGTAAAACTATAGGTGATCAAGAACAGGGAAGCAAAGGTGATCTTTGTTGCTCCCCTTGTCCTACTGGCTTCATCCTGGCTTGCCACAAGGATCTCATAAGCCTCCAGGTGCAGAGACCTCTTAGCAACAAGGGCGCATTCATAAGATTGTGCCCTTAAATATATAAATGATTTCTACGTTTGCATCTGTGTGTGTGTGTGTGTGTTACGATATGCAAACTGTTTTTTCTGTAATATATTTCCTCTTTTGCCAGATCATATACAAGTGGCCATGTTGACAGTTTTATTTTTGCTGATCTGAAAACATTAATTTTATAACTTTTTAAAAGAACTCCAGACTTCCCTAGTCTGGTGCTCTTCAGATGTGCTAGATGACAACTGGCATGAGCATGACCTTTACGTCTGGAAGGTACCAGATTGGGAATAGTTGGTGTACATTTTTTGAAAGAAAGAAAATGGCTACTTATTTTGGGATAGTTCAGAAGCTATTTAAGAAACGTTGTAGGAAATGGGATAATTAGACAAGTTTTCTACCTGTGACAGTTGCTCCCACAGTGAATTGCAATCATAACCCCCTCCAAAACAATTAAGTAAAAACCAAAATGATCACTAAACATTAAATTTTAAACAATATTAAACACCCAGTATTAACTTAATGATGTGAGCAAGAGAGTTCAGATTAAATGCCTTCTGGAAGAGGGAGAGCTGAACTTGGTGTCTAAACATATGCAGTCAAGGAACCAGGTGACTAGCCCAAGTCCTGGTCCATTTCCTGGACCGAGGAGCCATTAGGAAAAAGGGTCTTTCCCTCATAGGCACCAATGGCATCATCATGAACATCAACACCCAGAGAGGAGGTTTGGAAGAGGCTTGGATACTGAGGCTAATTTCCAAGATAGCTTATCATGTGACAACAGCAATCTTGACCCTAGTGAGATTCTGGAGTCCACATCTTTTCATGGAATATTAAACATCTGTTTCTGCAGACAGGTGTTTAATCAGATGCTGTTACCACACTGCTATAACATTTTGATTCAGCTTTAGGTTTTATTGCTGGTATCATTTTAATGTAAAAATAGTCTCTTGACTTTTTAAAGTGAGCCAGTATGGATGAATAATGCTAGAGAGAGAAAATGAAATAATATTTGGTGCTTATAAGTTATAGACCTTCTGGATCCTGACTTATTTGTTGTTAAATTTAATTTTTGAGAGGGTCTTTTCTGTCTCACAGTTTTGGGTTGCAAGCATATTGGATTGTTATAAATGTATCTTGAACCTTTTGTAGAAAACTTAGTCATTTTGGTAAAAAGAAACCTGTGTTATTTCTATTTATGGAGCCTCAGGTTTTCTTTGCCATCACTGCAAGCAATTTTATTTTGTCTCTGAAAGACAAATGGCTTTTGTTTAAATGAGTTGACCCTGGAAATTTCAGGGTCAGGCCAGGATCCAGAGAGCCCATAACTTGTGGGCACCAAATATGATTTCATTTTTCTTTGAACAGTTCTAACTCTTCAGGCAGAAAGACAAGTGACATCTCTCAGTAAGTGTCACTGTAATTTTCCAAAGCATTGTCACAATACATATTGTCATCTACATAAATCAGGTTTGTGTGTTTGAGTTGTGCATATTAAGGTTAAATGTGCTACTGGAGTGCCTTGTTGAGCAGCAAGCAAAATGAAATGCAGTTGACAGATTAATTTTTTGATGAGGGTAGTTTTATTGTTGGAAAGAGGAAAAAAAGAAGGAAATCTGCTTTCAGGAATAGCTGTATCCACAGAGGCAGTCGTGAGATGGAATCTCAAGGTTCATAGGCAATTGCTCATCATATATAGTAATACTAATTTCAGCCTTCATGCTTATTGCCTCTAGACTGCACCACCCACACATCTCAGTAGATATGCGATTATCCTCATTCAAGCAGGCATTTGATATTTATGCCAGTCTGTTAGGTTGGGAACTGTTTTTCATTGTTATATTTACAATTACATTTTTATATGCTTGCTTTAACTATGTTTTAATTCACATTTAATCTCTTATTGTTAGCTGCCTTGAGTGCCATTTTCTTGGTAGAAAAATGGGGCATCAAATACATAGACACATACATAAATACATACATTTTGATAGCCTATTTGTTGGAGTGACGGGTAGTTACTGCAAAAAAGTTAAATGGTTGAAGGCATGGATATCTAAAGGAGCATCTTCTCCCATATACGACTACCTGGACCTTAGATGACCTATGGAGGTTCTTCTCAGAGCCACCCTTGAAAGAAGTGAAGAGGGTGGCTTCAAGGGAAAGGCCTTCTCAGCTATGGCACCCCGCTTATCAGCTCCCCAGGGAAGTACATCTGGCACTGATGCTCCAGACGTTCCAGTGCTAGATTAATTTTTTTTTATTTTCCTGCCATTTTAATTGTTGACTTTCTAGCATTATATCAGCTTTTAAATTGTCTGGTACATGTGGAATAGTTGTTCTTATTTATTGCACTGTGTAGTAGTTGTCATTTTTGTTGTATAGGTCCACAAAAATTTCATTGTACACAGATGTTTTTATTGCAGGCAAATCTGTTTTTTAAACATTCTGTTAGATTTTGTATTTTAATTATACTGTGTAAACTGTTTTGATTAGCATTATGCTAATCAAATACTATACAAATGCTTTAATAAACAAGCAAGTAAACACATAAAATCAATATAAGAACACCAGTGTTTTAGAAAATGCTTGGCAGAGAAAGCCTGTGCTCCCTAGGAGAGCATCCCAGAGATCATAGGACGTGTAAGGTTCCCTTCCCTGAGGCCTCAGCAAACCTCAGAGAGGCAAAAAGTGGATGAAAAGGTGGACAGTGAGAGGAGAGGGTGGATCTGCAGCAGTCTACTCCTTCTCTGTTGCAACCTGTGCCTGCTGTGGATGAATTGACTAGCTGGCCTGCCAGACTTTTCAAAGGTGGAGGTCTCCAGTCTCTTAACATAACAGCATGCTGTAGTAATCTGTAACACTCTGAACTCAGAGAATTCTGGGCATGTTGTTGAGGCTGGGAGGAACCTGGTGGTGAAGACTTAGAGAGCTGAACTGCAGAAGACTTGGCTGGAAAGATTGGGCTCAGTTTTTGGGAGGAGAGTACCCACCAAGCTACCGCATATTGTGGTGGAACTTCACTTCTCCCTTCCCTGCCCTCCTGCTTGTTCCTCGACAAACAGCCTGGAAAGACCCATGCAAGCTGCAAGGATTGAGGGAGGGTGCTCTGAATTCAAGGTTCCAGCTCTGGAGTCAGAGTGCATTTTTTCAGATGAGAAATTTTCCCATGGCCAGCCAGTCAGCATTGACTGAACATATAAATGTACCCTCACTCACATGACTTTTGCACAGAATTGCATCAAATAGCATCATTAAGTATTTTACAAAAGTGGTGATCTCATAATAGCGTGGACTGGGGAGAGCCAAGTTCCATCCCCTGCTCAGTGGTTGAATTTGTGCCAGTCATTCATTCTTAGCCTAACCCACCTCGCAGGGTTTGTTGCGAGGAAAAATGAAAAGGAGGAAAAGGACTATGTAAACTGCCTCAGGTTTCTTGCAAGAGGTCAAAAGAGAGGGTAGAATGCCATGTAACAAAACCAACGATCCATTGAAATGTATTGAGCAACAGGTCAAGCATACTGATGCAGAATGGATGGCGAAAGGTCAATGGGAGAATCAGTCATCACCACTTATATGTTCCAGGGTGGCAGGCAGGTCCATTACTCCCTGCCTGATTTTTCTTTTATTTTGATTGCCGTGGAAGTGGAAATAAGTATGCCAAGTCTAGAGATTAAGTTGTTTCCTCACTATGTGGGGGGGGGGGTGTTGTGTGAGTGTTATTCATGGGAAGAGAAGGCTTTGGGTTTGTTACATCCAAACACTCTCCAAAAATAACTGTACTGAGCATCACTGATGGTGCATCCATGGAGACAGAGCTTTCTGCCAGGCAAATCTCCACGGAGGATTTCCATCTTTGCTCCCACACAGGGCAAGGTCCACAGTAACCCATGACTCTAAGGTCTTTGGGTTTGCTAAATAAACCCTTTCTCACTGCCTATGTATGGTCCACCCCCTATTTTCGCTTTTAAAAATTGTGCTAGTGGTAATATTTTTGCCTATTTGAGGAAGAGAGGATGTTTTTCTCCATGCTGACTAGATAGCCATTGCCAAGTTTCATGATTAATTTTTGTATCCTGAAAAAAGGAACAATCTTAAATTGGCATTGCTAAAACATTATTAG